TAAATCAATTTTATTAGAAAGAAATTCATGAATAGTTGAGAATCTGCAAGGCAGAATGGACATTTGGCTACAGAATATTTGTCTTTATATTAGTAATTTATAATAACTTCTCAGGAATAATTTGGTATCAATTATGCATTAATGTATACAATGGAAAACAGCAAGCTGTATAATATATATTGGAAAAAAAAATCATCACAAAGACACGGGGATGCTGTAAAAGGAAGTACTTCTATAGATTCTCCATCTAGAATTAGTGAAAATGTTTGTGGAAACAAAGTGTCTAAAAAACAATTTATAAATGTTCACTATTTTCACTGATGCAGTTTTTTTTTTTTTTTTTTTTTTTTTGTAAGATCAACCAAAATGGCAAATTGTTGAGTTGAGCAGTCGGGGACTCAACAGCCTGAAACAAACTATGAATTACTTCAGAGTTTCAAAGAAAAAAATATCATGTATTGACAATTGAAAGACAGGAAGATGTTGATTAATTTTATTAGATTTTATTGAGACCACACCAAACCACTTATGGTGGAATATTGTGACCAAGAATTAGAAAAAAATATATATACATTTTAGTTTTGCTTTTCCAGACTTTTCCATCCTTCTTCTAAGTAGTAAAAATAGTTTTTAAAAAAGAAATAAAGACACTTCAAAGAATTTTGCAGCAAAAAAATCTTTTTTGCTTTTTCTTTATTATGTTATGTAACATAATAAAAAGTTACAGTTTTCCCTCAAACGTTTTGCCACCTTGTTATATGTTGCATCTTGATTGTTGTTGCTTTGTTCCGCTGGATGCAATCTCATCTTAATCTCTGCACTGATTACTCCAAGGCTCCAGCCAAATCTAGTCCAGCTGGTTCAGCAGGCCCTCTGGAGCTTAATCAAATTACAGTTTGTCTGTGGGTGTCAGAGGCATAAACAGGAGAGAATTAGGGTGGGAGGGATGCAGAGTCTGTGATGACTGAGCCATCTAAATGTAGACAGAAGAAGGAAAACTTTTCCCAGTTGTCTGGGGCTGATTGTAACTCTACTAGTTCATACTTTTTTTTCTTTTTTTTTTTTAAATCTGGTGCACTCATCTGATCAAGAGTTCAACATAACATCATTCCTGTTGTCTGACATCAAGGTTCAAAGAGTCATAAAAACATAAGTTTTGGGATCATGCATAACTTTTTTTTCATCTGATCTGAATAATGAATTTCAAAACCTTCATTAGGCAAATTTACCAGAGAAAAATATAGTGCAACAAGGAAGTGTTTGAATTAATTGACACATAGAGTTATTTTTTTTTAAAAGATCTACAAGAAGAACTGCATAAGGATACAATATTATTTTTAAAATATGTGCAGTTTTTGTTATGTAACGGTCAGATTGATGTTTGGGTTTGTCGGAAACACACAGGTTCACAGAGTAATGAGGGAGTTTTCTTACAAGAACTTATCTTGTAAGGCTTCGTTATTGTTTTCTATTCTGCACCTACAACAATAGCCGATGAGTCACTTTATAAGTGCTTAAACTTTAATGAAAAGAAAAAAAAAAAAACTAGCAGGGATTTATATGAGGGACCAGGAAATTAAGATGCCAAATTAATCACAGCTCAAGTCATTCGCTGTGCATCATTTTTATTAGGGTTAAACCAACTAAAAATCACCAGTGTGCCAAACGTGTCCCTCTGCCTTCTTTTTGCTCTTATCAAAGGTGTGTGAATCTTTACTCTAGATGACTCATTTATTTACACCCAGTTCAATCAAGCTGCCTGCATGCATGACAGACCAAGGGTGCAAAGAAAGGATCTGCTGACAGGAAACACATTTCCTGAAAACAACACAATGTACTGGTTGTTACAAGACTATGTCTCTTTTTTAGCAGAAAAAAAAAAGAGCCACTGATGTTCAAAATCTGCAGATACAGACAAAATCTCATAAATTAAGTACATTATTATCAAGAAGTTAGTTTTTCATCAATTCAGTTCAAAAAGAGAAACGTATACATTACACAGATTAATGTAGACTCCAGATCAAACCTTAAGACTGGGGAGGAAATTATAACAATTTGAATTTTGCGCTTACAGATACTTACAGATACTTACAGATACTTACAGATACGGCCTGCAGTCCAATAACCATAATATGGAAACATCATCTAAGGTCACCTCTGCCCCTACACCAAAACCTCCAAGAAAAAGCCAGATTGGAGAGAAGAGGGTCAAAAGAAAGCTTTATTTTCTCACAAAAAATAATCTGGACCATCCTGATGACTTCCCATTGTGTTGTAGTCAAGACTCCCTAAATTAAGACCAAACTCAGACAATGTGAATACCAAACTGATGAGAGGCCATTGTCAAGAGCGTTGTTGTAATTGAACTGTAATGTTCCTGCAGGAGCTTATTTGGAAGCTAACTAGTTGCAGTGGTGCATGAGTGTTTTTTTTTTTCTTTTTCTTTTTTTTCGGGCGTATGCATATCCTCAGCTACACTTACTCCATAAATCTGACTAGTTGGTAACAAGCCAAATAGACAAACCAGACAGCTGTTAAATGTACATATGTCCAGCTAAACTAGTTCAGCTAACTAGCTTAGTATTTGTTGCAGGATTTTTTTAAGCACATTTATTCAAAGCATACTATAGTGTATTTGTTGTACAGAGAGAAAAAAATCCCTCTCGTCTTCTTATCCTCTACATGCTGGAGCACCAGTGAAAAAAAAAAAAAAAAAAAAAAAAAAAAGACAGGCGAGCGACAATTAAGGCCAAAACCTTAAGATCATGGAAGTTCAGGCATATATATATAAAATATTTATTTTTCCAACATCCTCTTTTTTTTATTTGTTCTTATGCAATATATCAGTGTTCAGAGAAAAATAATTGAAATACGTCACTCAACGTGTAATGAATTTATCTAATATATAAATTTCACTTTTTCTATTAAATTACTGAAATAAATCACTGTTTCAATGATATTCTGATTTACACACATGAGTGCAGCAGCTTGTGGACAGTCTAGCAAACGAGGTAGCTGGAATCATTTCAAACGTGAGCTCATTTCACTGAGGCACTGGAGTGGAGATGGCTAATTACAACTGAGATATGCTGCGCTTCCTCTCTCACAAGGAATTTACTTATTAGACTCAGTCGTGGAGAATAAACTCAACAAGTCTTCCTTCTGGTTTTACATGACCCCAGCCATACCAGCACCAGGAAAGCGAAGCTGAGTTTAAACACTTTTAAATTGATCTGGTAATATAAAGGCAATCATGTGATTTTGCTAACCCGCAGGCTCTTGTCCCAGGGTAAAACCCAGCTGCGGATGTTATTGCTTGTGAGTTTTAAGTGGTGGTGAATGTTCTTCAATTGCGTCTTTAAATCTGAAACCTGGGCATGGAACGTTTTTTACAGAAAGAGAGCTAAACGGTGTATTTAACACAGAAACTCTTAGTCCCTCTGGACATTTAGTAGCCCTGCTAAACGCAGCAGTCAACAGAATCAAAACCTCCTCTCTTTGTAATCATGTGCAGATGACCTCTTCTCTCAGCTCCCAGTGCATCCTGCAGATTCGTCCCTGATTCAAACAAAAAACCGAAGGTCTCTGTCTTCCTGCAAGTAGGTGTCACCATGGAAACAACCATTTTTCAGCGCGCTCAACAATAGCTGTTAAATGAAAGGAACTGTCTGATGGAATTAGTGTGTTTCGTCTCTCTTTTTCATGCAAAGTATGCACACTGTCAGCAAACTGCACAATGCAAATGCGTATATGATAACATAACCTACATTTGAAGATGGATTCTGTTTTCTTGTCCTGTGAAGTGTGAGTAACAAGAAGTTGGTGAGAGCTGACCGCTAAAAAAACAAACAAACAAACAAACAAACAAACAAACTTAAAAACAGATGGATCTGTTCATATGAAAGGAAATATTTGAAATTTTAAATCAGGTAACAAATGACACAAATGAGCAGACTTACAATAAAATATGAATTTAAACAGGAATGACTGTACAGTACGGCTCTAGAATAATAGGAAGCATGTAATTAAATCAGATTTTTATTTTTATTTTTTTGGCTTGAAAAAACTTGAAACCTGTATGACCTTCTTCCTGACTACACAGTCTGCAGTTCTGCCAAGTGTATAAAGTGGTTATGGACAGAAAACCTTGTGGTTACCGATGAAGAAGTGAAAGTCAGAATGAAAGCGACAGGGAGAAACATTATCTGAATGGAAAACTTCAAATAAACTCATGTGGCATAAACTTCTCACATTCTAAATTTTGCCTGACATCAATGCACAAGTAGACAGTATCCATCACTGTCTACAGTTTTTTGCTTTTATCTGTGGTGCAAGACGATTTAGCAAACTGTGATCTTGTTGATCTCCCATGTTTTATTGCACTGTATTTATTCTTTTAGCAAAAATAGCAGTGAGCACGACTTTACAATCTAGATATTTCTGCATAAATAGCGTAGACTAGATATTTTCCCACAGAGATGTTGTTTTTAGACGTGAGTGCACCATCTTGCACCATAAACAGGGTCACTCCATGGTGCTCCCCCATTGCCACCGTGGTCCATCATCCCATACCTCAGGACTCTGATGTTTGTTGTTTCATTCAAATTCTAATTTAATTCACAAATACTTTATTGATTTCTAAGGGAAATTAAATGTTCTCGTAACACATTTAATTGAAGATATGTTAGGGACTCAGATTTTTGTGTTTTTCATCTACACTTTAGACATTTGTTGTCTCAGCTGTTTTTAAAGTAAATCCTTATATCCAATATAGTTTGTAATTCAAGGTTGGTGGCACCAAAACATCCAACATCCAACAGCATAAATAAATCTTAATCTAGAGAAATATAAAGAAAACCGATTGCTCCTTTTGTAATATAAATGACTCAATGCAAAGGTCAAGAATTTATCCTTCAGACGGATTGCTGATCGATTGTGAGATTAATTGGTTTGTAATCTTAAAATAATTGAACATGACATGTTCTTGCTATGTCACGCACTTTTCTTTTTGTTATAAACAAGCCTGTGATTCGTTGCGTGCTCCTGCAGAGTATCGTCTAATTTTGGCATCATTCCTACACTGCATTAAGCTAACCACATGGGGCTCAGCTTCAGTTGTAAGTCCAACCTCCCTCCAGGGATTTTCACATGCGAGTAACTGGAGATGTCTCCAACACCGGGTCTGCTGAATCAATGGGCCTCCTGCTGCGCTCCACAGCGACAGAGAAATCTTCATTATTTGATCTTTAAAAGAAGTTCAGACAGCAGAAGCAGCTGTGTTTCAGTGAATTCAGAAAGAGTCAATAGCACATGCGTGTCTGGGAAGTGCTGGCATAGCCGTGGAGGACAAATCAAAGGCAGATAAATGTTTTGTTCTTGGGGAGGATATTTGTAAGATAGCACAGCTGAAAACATGTTTTGCAAGTTGTTCTCTGCAGCTATTGGCAGTGACAGCTTAATTGTTAACTTTTACCTATTTCTGGAAACAGTCTAAAGAATGTAACACTTTATTCAAACTTTAACACTGTGTGGTATCATTATATGTTTTTTAAAGCACTCTTTTTATGAAGAACTTTTTTATTTTAAATAAGCCACATTATGTCAAACTATCTCTGATTAATTTAAGCCTGGGCTTTGACTAGACCAGTCCAGAATTTGAATAAAATTTTTATTTCCTGAGGTGAACCTTGTATGATTTTAAGACTCTGAAATATGAAATAGTAGTCTTGAAAAGATAACCTCACAAAAAAAAAAAAAAAAAGACGGGGCAAATACTTCTTCATAGCACTGTACACACGCAAAAAAAAAAAAGAACAAGTGACAAAATAAAGCAAATAAAACCCAGGCTCTGTCCCTTTGATAGTTTAATGTACTTCAATAACAAAGGTAGCTGTGGTTTTCAGAATCCTGTCTGTTTCAGGTGAGTCCCTGCTCAAACACACCTGAATAAAAAGGGTGAACTCAGGACTGAGATTTTAACACCTTTTCAGGTGACACTGATGGACACGCTGTGGTCTGGTTGGTGTCACTAATGCACCTAAAGTTCATTTACCAGAAGATGGATAGGATGTATCGAATACCATAAGTTGCTTCTGCACTAAGAGGTTTTTTTTTTATTTTTTTTTATAGATTCTGTGTATTAGCTATAGCTTTAATGTCTTTTGAAAGTCACAATTTCTCATGAGACCCTGAACATTACATTATGTCACTCAGCCCTTACTGGATAAGTACAGCTGAAGGTTAAATCTTTTTTTCCAAATGATGAGCTCAACAGAATAAAACAATCAAGGTTGCCTATTTCTCGCTTCGGGTCAGAGTTAATTGGAAATTGAATTAATGGATTAAGAGAGCAAATTGCTCTTGGGAAGCACTCGTTTTATGGCAAGAAACACTAAAAGGAAATTGGTAACATTAATTTTCAAGAATTTATTATTCTGATGTAAATGAACTCAATATTAACATGTTACAGCATTAGTTGAGGATTGGCTTTTGTGCTTTGCTTTTGATTCAAACTTCTCACATCTTGAATGTTTTATTAAACATCTTGTAGAGTTGCGTTGCATATAAAAGCAGCAAAAAAGGTAAATCGAGTGTCTCTGCAAAACTAAACATACAGCAGATACATAAAGGGTTACTACCTGTACGGTGGCTCGCTAAGGGATGACGACAATACAATGGTTCAGAGATAACCTGCCATGGAGCGTGATTTTAACTGCTTACTGTAGCCACTTCACAACAAACCAAAAACTGATTCACTATTTATCTTTCAGCTCACAATCTTAAAGGGAAAAACTTACATAACGAGCCAAAGCTATAGTACATGCTGCAGATTTGTAAAGTTATACAGTTTCATAAGATGACACTTATAATCTACAAACATAAAAAGTAGCTGGTTGTTGGTTCCATATTATTTACAAATAGCCTGATTCAAAAAGTTCTATGAATTTTATGCAACTAAACAGGAATTTATCTTGTTTGCTTTTCTGTCTGGTGTTCAGAGATGACCTCTGTTAGGATTTGGTGCAATATAAATAGACACTCATCAGCACTGTTCGTCTTTTCGTTTGTGTCAGACGCATGTTTCGTAAAGCAGGTTCTGATTTGTTGTCAGTGGCTGGTGCACATTCAAACAGAGCTTTTATCGATATATTACATCAAGAAGTACACTTAAATAGAAAAATGAGACATTTACAGTGCATATTGATGTTCGTTCAGGTGGTGGAAATTGAAATTATGATCTATGAGCAGTTAGAGATGTTGGAATTAAAAAATAAGGCCAAGTTTGCTGCCAGACCCACCCTTAAACATACAGACACATCATGAGTCCCGCAATAAACTGGAGCACTTCTTGCAATTCTTTTATCTTGATTAAATATTGTCTGATTGCATTAGAACTAATTCAAAGTTCTAAAGAGAAAGAAACCTGGTGACAAATTAGCGCGAGGATAAAAAAGGAAAAAAAAAACAAGCTTGTCTGATCACTAATCATCGTCACGGTCTCGGCCTGCATGCATAAACATTATGATGAGAAAACTTTACCCCTCAGGTTTTGTGTTGCTAAAAAAAAAGCTGGATGGTCAATTCGCACAGCCAGGGAGACTGTCCAACCCACACAGAGCACGGAAATATAACCCACAATCTCTTGTATTTCAGTCTTTGTGTAAACATTTTGTTTAAAATAAATAAGTAACAACACATTAAGAAGGATTTCCTCTTCAGTTCTCAGCTAGAGACATGCATCTTCTTCCCCTCTTCCTGTGCCAGACTGGTGCTGCTCTCCAAGTTGGGTTGCAGGTACGGAGCAACCGGTTATTCTGTCGGGGTGGTGGCCACTGGGCTGAGGATAGGAGTCAGTAACTCCCTCATTGGGCTCATGGGTGAAATGGCCTTATGGCTGAAATACTCAACCACTTGACCAGGTACTTCTGCAAGAACGCACTTGGCCAAAGCTGCAGGAGAAGCCTGTAATGGAGAGTAGAGAACAGGTGGAGGTGTCAAAAGTGGTGAAGAATTGCTTAATCTATTTTCAAAGTATTTCAAGTAAAGCTCTGGGGTATGTGAGCAGTGGCTGGAAGCAGAGCTATTTCTCTGCTTCAAGCTAATTACAAAAGATAAGTCAGGGTTTGACATCGTCGAAACTGCTGTGGGGAGTACTCTAGAGTAAGCTTCTCATGCATTGATCCCGAAAGCTAAAATCACAATAAGTGTTTGCAGTCCAGTGCTTTGTTGGAGTTAAATATCTATATTTCTTTTATTATGCCAATATTATTCTGTAATAATTGGGTTAGAGTCTCTTGATTTTGTGTGCAAAGTAGGTTTCATTTTGCATGCATTTTTCAACATTGTGGAAGGTTGTTCATGTAAACAGCAAACTTAACTGTGAAAGAAAAATGACAAGTTGAAGCTCATAAACATTTCAAGCATCTGTCTTGAAATAAACCGGGCCAGTGCTAGCTTCATACTTACAAAACTTAATTTTGTAAGCATGAAGATAATACTTGTAGGACATGACACTATCCATATTCAAGTTTTGTAGCTGTGCTCTTCTAAATTTGGCTGACAGCTTCGTTGTATTTTGTGATAATGGGTTTGTGGAATTATGGCTTAAAAAAAACCTTTAGTTAAAAAAAAATGTATTCCCAAGTAGGAGAGTGCTAAAAAGTTACTGGCAGAGTATATAACAGCAACTGTTTCAACAACAGGACAGAAAATAGTACAATGGAGGTAGAAATATGGAGAGCGGTTGAGTGGCTTCACAGCAGCTGATAGTAATATGCATGCGTGAAGTAAAAGGATTTTAATTGAGAGAGCATGTCAGCAGATCAGATGCTGTTAGAGCATGCACGCTGTCACAGTCACGGCTTTTCTTTCTGCAGTTTAACTGTGAAGCATATTTTTCATGCATTAGGTAAGTGTGAGAAAAAAAGTTCACTGTGAAAAGGTACAGCTAAAACATTTTAGTAATTACATGCATGTCCTGAGAACGAAAATACTCTCAATTACAGCTAAGCCTAAAAGTATTTATACCTTGTAGATTTAAACATGTTTGTATTTGTCGAGTAATTTTTAAGTATTGGCAACAGGTTAAAAAAGTAATATTAACATTTTGGAGGGGCCAGTTAGATTCCCAGCTTGAATCCAATAAAGATTGCACCGGGAGGAGCTAATTATGACACTAATGACTAGGAAGCTTTCCAAAGTGAAATGCTTGGCACTCATTACCAAAGATGATCAAAATACAAGTGGAAGCATTCGTAGTTCACATCAGTGTATACATGCCAAAAAAATAAAAAAATCACACTGATTTTTGAGAAGGCTGTAAATGATTTTATACATGGCATTTTCTAAAATAAAAAAAAAAATCTAAATAAGAACTTTTTTTTCAAAATTCATACTCATTTTACATTATTTTGTTATTTTTTTTTAGAGATAATATAGATAAAGTTGTGTTAAATTGTCACAAACATACTTCTTAGTTTAAGAAAAACTTTTTACAAAAATGTAAATAAATCCGCTAGGAGTATGATTAATATTGAGCTTAACTGTACAATATAGTAACTTCAATTTCTTTGGTGACAGAAGATTTGTAAGTAGGACTATGCGAATTTAAAAAGCAGATGCTCAAATGGGGACATATAAATTTAACTATCCTACTGATGAGATTCATTTTAGCTTTTAGTGCCTGTGTCTCCATTCTTTAATTAAGACCGGGAAGTATGACAAGATAAAACTGCAGGATGCCTTACAAACAGATAATCTAAAGAACAAGAACAGTAGCTCAGTAGTTTAGTAAATATTGAGGGAGAAAAGGTATATTGGCAGGATTAAATTGTCTAGACAGTCACATGTAATTGCTCAATATCCAGGCTCCATTTCGCCCATATTTTCCCTTGGCAACAGCCTGGGTCAATCATTAGCAATCCTGCTGCACCTCAGAGTCGGGTGTGTTTCAGGTTACAGCAGCGAGCTCTTTCAGGTCTCTCTGTGTCTGTCTGGGCAGCTTTCCTTCTCCAACATAGCACAAACAGCTTGAATCTGCATCCCTTTTCCACATACATGTGCATCAATCAATTCATTACTATAAAGATGCTGCTTTTTTAGCACACCTTAGACTTATTAATGATTTTAGACATAAAATGAATTTAGTTTGTAAACTAAATGATCTTTTTTTTTGTGTCCTCCTATCTCTGCTATCCAACTGAACGAGATGGTGACACAAAGTAAAGAAATTAGCTTTAGAGCATTTTCTATAAACTCTTCCTGGAGAGATAACTTCATGGCCGTAAACATAAAGGATTCATCAGGTGTAATATTCTAATGAACACCAAGAACCAGCAATGGAGAAAAATCTTAAAAGCTAAAGTGTCTCCATGGCAGCTTATTTTAAAAAGATGAAGCAAACATCAAAATGTAGCAGAAAAACAAGGTAATATAAGGAAAAGCTGCAACATTATGTAAATTAGAAGGCTTCATAATATAAAGGCAAAAGGCTCACAAACAAATTTTCCACTTGCATTCTCTACCATGAGAATGCATAAACAATAATCTCCCATAAACAATCCTATAAACAATAATCTCAACAGTGCAAGTCATTTAAATTCAGGGCCAAAATTTCCAGGTTCCTGTTGTCACATTATATCAGTCATACACACAGGACTCTCAAGCCTTTGACAGGCGACATTATCACAATATTGTGTGAGTAATAGTAATAGTAAGAAGCATTTCCAGAGAGGGAAGCAAACATGATCATAGATGGATTTACACATACTTAGGTAAGTATTTGTTGTTGACGTGGAGAATACAGTATATTCAATAAATTTCTACCAGAACCCCAATTAAAAAAAAAAAATATTCCTTTAAGATTGTTTTTAATATATTATTTATAAACATACAAAGCTATGTTTTCCCACAGTAGTTTGAGTAAAATCTTTTTGTAATTCATTGAAGGCACACCCCACACACACACGCACACACACACACACACACACACACATACAGCTACTGTGTCATTTCCACACTGTGGAAATGAATCAGCTAAGAGTGAAGGAAGGAACTGATAGTCCCTCAGAGATCTGGAGGTCCTTGAGTTCAATTCCCAGATGTCTCAATCCACCACACTTATCTGTTCAAACAATTAAATGCGAACATAATGCACAAGACCTTGCAGGACTTCTAGATCCAGTAGGTGATGGCTAACCAACCAGATATTGGAGTTGCAGAAAAAGCAGAAAAGAGAGCAGCAGTGATAGGCAAAGTGATCCCAAAGAATAGCAAAATTAAGAAGAAGAATTAACATGAGAAAACTGAGAAATATAGAGGGGTAAAAGTGTAAAGGGAGAAGGTTTGGAGAGCCAAGGCTTCAGTGGAGTCACTTGTACTCTGTGGCCCCCAAACGGAGGAAGTGGCTGCAGCAGATCCTCCAAAACAACCTCGGTCAAGACCACTGAAACCCTAAGAACAGCTAAGATACTGCACACAACCATCAAGTTCATGTGGCAAAACTCCTTTGCTCAAAAGTTGTAATCCACAAAGCAGATTGCGTTTGTTTTGTTGTGAAGCTTGGCTTCCTGTTTACTCTTTTTAAGTTACAAAGTTTTGATGACATCACACGGAAAAAAAAAAAAAGTTCAGATGTGCAAAATCCTCTGTGGCTCAACAGTCAGATGTCGAACAGTTTGAAAGCAAACAAATAAAGACGAAAACAAACGACAGATGGAGAGACCCACTGACCGTTTTGAAGTCTCGGAAAGGGACGAATTGCACAATGTCCCTGAGGACAGGCTCGCCCTTCGGTGACCGCAGGACGCCATCGTCTCCGTCCAGGATCTGCATATCTGTGAAATCTGCATTGCCCACTCCGACAATGATGATGGAGAGAGGCTGGTAGGACGCTCGGACAATGGCTTCACGTGTGTCTGCCATGTCTGTGACCACGCCATCTGTGAGGATGAGCAGGATGTGGTATCTCTGCAAGAAATTGGGAGAAAATTATTTAATGTCAAAATTAGCCCCATTGATCTTACCACCATTTGTTCTTGAACAAGGACACCTCCCGGCATGTGAGGGAGGACTTTCAAGTTTTCTTGAGGGATTATGCGGACTTGACGCAGCCACAGCCAAACGTGGCCCTGAACTACAAAGCACTCCACTATTAAACAGTACATAAAAACATATTAACCAGAACAAATGGTTATAAGCTCTTTTCCTGAATAGTTCAAATTGAAATTTTCTGTCTCTCTGCTTTGGGTTCTTCAGAAAAATATACCCCAGATGAGTAAGCTATCTAGATAATGGAAAAATTGTGATTTATTTTTTCCCATCACAGCAACACGGTTATATTTAAAAAGTTGTATCAGACTCTGCTGCTTTAGCAAATAATCGATTTAACTGTAACAACATAGATTGAAGTCCAAACAGTTATGTATTTTTCTTTGGACATTAACCTTAAAGACATTGCCCTATATAATGTGATACTTAATCCTACCTTTTTATGTCAGGACTTACATTTTTTGGTTTATATTTTAGGACTTACTTTTGATCCACTTTGCTGCCTTACTTAAAAAAGAAACTTTGCTGATGCACATATCGCGGATCAAGTTTGTGTGAAATCAATTTCAAGCTGCAAATATTTTTTGTGTAGCATTACAAATTAAAACTAGAGTAAGACTTTGCTCTTTAGCATCCCAAATGAGTTTATCTGTTTTGAATAAAAGTTACGGAAGATGTAAAGAATAAATACCCAAACAACTCTGTTAAATAAACTACTAATCTAACACAGAAAAATCTGAATTGTAATATCATATTCATCATAAAATCTTTTGTTTTTTGCCATCTAGATGTGCTGCAACAACACTAGGGACCAGAAGCTGCTGATCTTTGAATCTCGGTGAGAGGAAAACCTGCTAAATCCGTGTATATCACAGAGCTACTCACTGAAGCATCTTTAATGTTGCCATCGCCTGCTGCCACCTTGGCTATCCTGTTGATGATTGGAGCAACATTGGTTGGCCCATATAATTGGATCTTAGGAAGGCAGTTCTGGTATGCCTCGACGACTCCCTGGATCCCTAATCAAACAGAGGAGGAACCAAAAGAAAAGAAACCTTTAACATATTAACTTACTCTTATACAGCATATGCTGTTCAGTTCACATAATTTCAGTGCCCTTTGACAGTATTTAAATACCTAGAATTTTGTCAGATTTTTCCATGTTTTTATAATTGACTTTAATGCAATTAGGAAGGATTTTATGTGTTAGACCAAGATAAGTAGTGGTGGTTGGGGAGAAGGTGAATGCTTTGCAGAAGTCCCTTTCAATGGAATGCAACAGTAAATATTTTGGGGCATGTATTTACCAGCTTCATTGATTTGAAGCCTAATAAATTTGTTTAGCATAATAATAATAAAAAAGATCAAACTCAGTGAAATTAGATGCAGCTGTTCTGTGGAAAATGAGGTCGTCACAGAAGAACTGAGATTAAAATACAAACAGGGGTATTCTCCATACCAATTAAATGTTTTTAAGGGCTATTTGTTGCACTGGGTCTTATCCAGGATTATCATAGTAAAAGTGAAATATGACTGTATGCCACTCTCCTCAGATTGCTACTTTTAAAAATATGTAAAACCCATATATTGTTTTCAGAATTATTTGCTAATTTACATCAATATGTCACATAAAATCCCAGTGAAATACTTGAAGGTTTAGGACTGCAATGTGACAAAACATGGAAAAGTTCAATGAACATGAATATTGCTGAGCTTAATGATTTTTGATTATAAAATGTTTGCTAAATCATACAAATCTGGAAAGAGGAGTAAAAAGCATCCTGTTCTCTGGGATCGGCATGTGGAGAACTCCTTACCTTCACATTCATCATCCTCTGGGTTGAAATTTATGGCAAAATCATGGGATACCTGCAAACAGAGAAAGGAAATGAACAATGATAAAACTGTGCAAAAATTAAACAAGAAAATTAAATGTACTGCATTTCCTATTTTAAAAGCTTTCTTATTGCAATAACATCATCATTCATTTATATAGGAATGGCTTGCTGGGAAAAAAAAAGTAAAGGTCAGTCTTTTACTGCATGGGCTTTGTTCAAATATCTTTCAACTTATATTAATTTAATTGATAACAAATTGAAAGAACAAATTTCATCCATACAAGTCAGAGCACAGGAAAAAGTCTCTTCTCTTATTTCAGTATTATTGATTTGGCATGAGTGTTCATTAGTATTAGTTAAGAGAAACACAAAGGATGTGAAACATGTTTGCGATTGGTGTCTTAAAAGGTTTAGGATGTGTAAACTGTTCTACCACTTTGTCAGATTTGAGCTTGGTTTATTGGATTTGATTGCAGCAAAGGAATCTTAGCATTTCTTTTTTCAATTATTTGGTCTATTCTTGTCATCCAAGCTTCATTTGGATTCTGTTCATCACTTAGTGTTTTAACTGGCAACCCCCCACTGTGTTGCTTTCCACTGACTAGAAACAGTCTTTTCTGGAAGCCCTGACTGTCTGCCAGACCACTGACAATTGGTTCCTGTCCAGCTGGCTCCTATTTAAAGGCTTTTAAAAAGGACTTTAGAAAATAAATAACTGTGAAGAAATTTAACATGAATGACAACTTGGCTTATGCGAAGGAAGCAGATTTAGTTTTAATCTGTCTTAACAGCATATTTTGCATCTGACCTTATTAGATGAAAGCAGGAAACACACCGACTAGCAGTGCAAGCACCTTTTGTCCTTGGTTCATATGGATATATTGTCCTCTTAATTAATCAAATAAAGATGATCAAGACTACACAAAACTCTCTCTTTTTGTGTAGTCTGTTTTTTTTTCTGGTCCCTTAAATACACCATACACAAAAAAAAAAAAAAACATTCAAAGAAAAGTACAGTCACATCACAGCACATTTTTAACTGCTTGTATTCCTACTTCATCCAGGGCACATAAAACACCTGCCGTGTTTGTGTTGCCATAGACACCGAATGATTTACATAAGTACATACACAACAGTTTGCAATCAGCAGATGGATCTAACAGCAGTCATAAAAATGTTAAAATCACTAATGTGCATTCAGTACTACCTACGGGTAATCAGTGTGACACATAAAGCAGTGAAATGCACCAGACAATCTACGTTATTTTTTTTATAAAACGCAGTCATAAGTGTTGGGTTGAGGTCTGCTCGGATCCTTGAAGGAAAAAAATAAAATAAACAGCCTTACTTGACAGGAACTTTACACAAAGGCTGCAAAAGTCACTTTTTCATAGTAGAAGATTCTGACAAAAACACTGTTAACTGTAGCACTTTTTAGAGGAGCACGGAAATACATAAAAGTATCTGCATCACAGTCAGAACATTGGTATTGCTGTTGGTGATGTTTTAAGACTACAATCAGTGAGGCCCATTAGAAAGGTTTCTCCATCAGTGAGAGATAAACTCTGGTTTACAGGTTTGAAAAAAGGAACGCAACTCCTCTTCTGCCACTGATATATATCCATAAAAAACATAATCTGCTGGTCCTAATGTTGTGGAACAGATTCTCCCCTCGGAGCTGTCTTCCAGCACATGTGGCTGCGGCACACGTGAACCATAATTACGAACGTCAGAGCCGCTTGAGCCCATATCCATCAAACTTGCACACCTAATGCAAGAGAGCTCCTAGCTTCTAAGTTCAGAGAGCATTTCATGATTAGTATAATGACTTAATTAACATTCAACGGCAACAGCAACCTTAATGTGTCAGCAGCACACGGTCTGACAAATTTGACGCCGAAAAGGCGAGGACTGTCATGGTAAATTCAGAAACCCGGTTTGCATTTGCTCTCCCGCAAATTCTGCACGATTGAAATGATAATTATTAGTGCAACACACCAGATTGCAATATTAGATTAAACATAGGCCAGTCTTGTTTGATATGTTATCTGAGGAGTGTTTCATCTGTAAGTGAATGTGTGTGTGTGTGTGTGTGTGTGTGTGTGTGTGTGTGTGTGTGTGTGTGCGTGCGTGCGTGCGTGTGTGTGTGTGCACTCATGCACAGTTTTTTCTCACAGTGTAGCTTTCTCCCTCAGGGTACTAACTGGAGTAGCAAACAGCTTTCAGTTCTTAAAGGGCAATTTTCTTAGACATACACTCTCACAGTTGTGAATTCTCATGTAAATTTTGCGTCAACAAGCTCCGACTTCAGTTCTTGACGAACAGGATATTTTCTCAGGACGGCTTGATATTTTAAGACAAGGGTCTCATGAATAAAACCACACTTGATAATTAGTTTTAAATGTGAAAGTTTGACAGAATGACAAGGTGTTTCGCAAAGTAGGTCATGGAAATCACCTTGGTGAACATTCAGTCTCAGGGTGAAGGAAATTACCAACATCTCAAAGTGAGTACCAAACAGTCTTACTTTATGCACCATTCATGTTGAGGGAGGTAGGGCTACAATAGATGGTTAAAAAAAAACCCAACTAATTTACGACCAGACTTACTCACCTCGTAATTTGGAGGAATTCTGGCACCAAAACCCAAAGCTGAAAACCGCTTGTCACTAAACACAAAAAGGAAAAATCTTTCATTAATTAGAATTACTTTGCAGTTTTGACAAAAATTAGTGAAAAAATATTGTGCCCATCTGTTCACATTTCCAAGGACACACCCCACGCTTGTTTGCATTTCATAACACGATAAAAGCCTGAATAACAGCTTGGAATCAGTCCCCCGGTCCCGGCAGCCAGCGTTTGCACCTGTTCAAAGAGCTTCTCTCGCTCTTTCATCTCTTCATATTTCCATTGTACCGTTTGCATGAGTTGATATAAATGCGAGAGACTGCTGTGCTGGAGGGAGCACCCCAGTCAAAGGCCAGGCAACACAATTTTGAATAAATAACAATACAAATTCAGTGTCTGGGCTGACTCCCTCGTTGCAAGATAGCAAATATATTTCCAGTCTACTAAATTGTGTGGCTTAAATTTGAAGATTAAAATATGTCCATTGTCTGTTTACTGCTTTCTGATAAAGTACCAGAATAAAATAACCACTTCCACATATACTGCACGTAGAGGGAGAATAACAAAGCAACTATTGACACAGTTCTCTCCCATCTGTTGACAGGGTGTATTTAAACTCTCTCAAAAGTCACCCACATGACAGTTTAATAACACACAGCACCATCCAAATATTACTCATCCTTGTTATTATGACACCATTTAAATTATAGAATTTAGCACATAAAAAAAATTCCCTTCTAAACAATTAAAGCAAATTGTTTTATATGTTTTTAAAATTATTTTCTAGCTTTCTTCTGCACACCTGTCTTACAATTTTGATTCCTCGTCTATTCCATTGTTTTGATGAGTGTTCATGAGTCAGGATAAAATTAGAGCACAGCATCATCCTAAAATGATGTTTTTACTACACCCTTTTAGTGTGTAGTAAAAATGAAATGTGTTGTACAATTTTAATTGTACTTGCACATAACATGTCATTTCTAAAGTAGCTTTTCAGCCCAAAGACTCTAAAAATATTAGTGTTACCATGAAACAAATATAAAATCATATTCTGAAGACAAAACAACAAATAACAGCAGCAATTGTTTTAAATCTAAAATCTGTTTGTGTTATTTTGCTTTTGATATTCCCCGTTTAAAAGTGTGAGTTATCTATGGAGCATGAATGCATTGAATGACCAAACTGAATGATGAGATGTCCTCGAGTTTACACCAGAGAGCTTATCATCTGTTCTAGATCTTGATTTTATTGGTTTTCTTTGCATGAAAGACTTTAAAAATGTAATGAAAAAGCAAATCATGTTTTGAAAACCTTTTCTTTCATTTCCCGAATATTGAATTTTACAGCTTCAAACCCAGTGAATACGATAAGTCAGTACTGGGTTTCTTTTCAGCCATCCTGTCAAAATTTGCTCTTTGTATCGCATTTTCTTAGTCTCAAACACTAAAACTCTCATTATAGAGCACCTTTGTTAATTAAATAACCCTGTCAGAAAACACACGACTTAGTCAATTTAGAGCCTCCAAATGTGAAGTCAACTTCGCAAAAAAAAAAAATTAATGATGTGTGAAATGGATACTGGTAGGAACAAAGGAGAACTATGAAATTATCTCAATGAAACTTTTTTGTAGGCATGTCTTATTGCTGTTCAGATGTTTGACCTGATGAAGATCCAGGTAGCATGTAAAATGCAGCGAAGGTCGAGTGTGCAGGTTTCTCTCTATCCATATCACAAGCTTTTGTCGTCCTTTATATTTGTGTGACAAAAAAAAAAAAATCCTTCATTCAGGAACAAAAGAGGAAAAAGAACTGAATTTATTTGTGATCCAGTCAAATTAGGACGTAAGATGGACGGATTGAACTTAACAAAGCAGAGCTGCATTTTCTTCAAAAACCCTCATATAAACTGAAATTCAGAAACAGTTGATTCAGAGAGGAGTAGGGTGGCAAGGAGGGGTGAGGAAGTTGTTCTGTAGGGCTACATAAAGTACTGGAAACTGCAAAATTAGTGCATGCAATGTTAACATTGCATCTATTGGCTATTCATGTCTTGTAAGCTAATAATATATTCAGCCTGCTGGATGGAGCTTCACAAACCCGTTATACTTGGTAGCACTCCAAATGCAAAAGGTCGCAGAAAGTTATGGAAGTGTTTTAATGACAGAGAAAATTGAGGAAAAGGTGGGTTCATTGCAAATGACATCATTGCAAAATGCAACAATAATGAAGAAAACCAGTTTACTTCTTAATAAGGTGCTGCCTTAATGGTCAGTATGGCTGAGGTAAAGATGATTAGATGAGAGAAGTACTTTGCAACTGAAACTTAGTGTGAAACACCAGACTCTATTTAAATGATCTAAAAGTTTTTACTTTGAAAATGTCAGCACATCCAGGTGTGCCCCTACATGCTGAGGATGAAAGGATTAGAGGATAAACACTGGAACTATTCAGATGTCTGTACAACACAGGACAGAAGGACAGAAAAACAAAAAGTCAGGCATGGCTGTGTGTCTAGATGATCTGGATTTATGATATGGTTTAGCTTGCTATGTGCAGCAGCAACTGTATTAGTATGATTATGGCAATGTCTTTGCAAATGGTCTCTCATTGGTTTGGTCTTGAACTTAGTCTCCTGGTCTTGTCTAGGTGTCAGATTAGGTGGTTTTGACTGCAACTCTAGATGGGAGAGTGGGAAAAGGTGGGCAGCATGGGTGACTGAGCGACAAGTAGACTTACCTGTTATTGCCATTCCATCCAAGTTTTGTTTTCCTCTCCCTCATCCCAAAGAAATGCCTATTAGCTCAACTGTCCACTCTATGAAATCTTTAGAAATGAGTGTTTGTGAATGTTTGTCTCTCTAGAGCAGAGGTGGCCAACTACCGTCCTCGAGAACTACTATCCTGCAACTTTTGCATTCCTGCTCCAACACGTCTGAATCAATGAATTCTCTTCATCAGCATGCCATTCAGCTCTGCAGTGCCTGGTAACATTCATTTGATTCAGGTGTGTTGGAGCATGGATGCATCTAGAAGTTGTAGGATAGTAGCTCTCAAGGACTGGATTTGGAGTTTGTCCATGGTGATACCCCACCTCTCACCTAATGACCATCAGGATCAATTCCCAGATCCCATGCATTTCTGCACAAACATAAGCAGCAATGGATAAATGCTGGATGATTTTAATTTACAACAAACCCAGAAAACTATGTTAAAATCCTTCAAATGACTGAAATAAAGCTAAATCTGACACTTTCAGATGAAGAACAGAGCTGTCCCATCTTGTTTTCCATCGCGTCTGTGACAGTTTGCCCACAGACAGCTTTTCTAATGGCCGCCTCTTTTATCTAGGCATTGACTTCATTTCATGCCCCTTTTGACAACATAACTCTCCACATTCTCCAGTTCAGAGAGAATGATAAATACCATCACACACTCTGAAGAATCATAGTTTGGGGCACAAACACTGGAGTAGATATTTTTAACTTAGTTAGAGCGGATGAAGTACCTGAATAAAATTTACCGTGTAAGCAGGTGATTAGTTTGTTTTTTTTGTTTGTTTTTCTTCTTGGTTGTGATTGCTGGTGGAGTAGCTAATATTGCTTTGAGGCAACTTTTCAGATATCACAAGCATTTGATTAGCTGCGATGGATGCTGGCTTGCATAAACACTGGCAGAGAGATGGCTTGCAGAGTGAGCAGTCTGATAACGTTCAAGAAAATTAACTTCAAACTCATCATTTTTGTTTAGTTTCAAACCATTGTATTTACTTTTTCTGCTGGTAGTTTTTTGTGTTGTATTAGCAACAAAACTAAAGAGACCAGATTTACTTTTATTGCTGCAATTTTTTTTCTGGCAGTTTTGATTATACATTATTTACAATGGCTGCAAGATGTAAGAGCACATCTCTGTGGTTTCTGGATAATTGGATCCCTTTTTTTTCTATCACTGCTTGTAATATGATGTGCTTTGACCTTGTGTTTGTCGCCGTTTTTCTCTGAAAGAAACATCTAGATGAGTAAAAAGGTTCTTCTCTTTCATTCAACCTTTCCACTGGCTCTGGCTAATGCAGTGTATTGTATCGAGACATAAATGCATTTCTCTAACATTGCTTCCCAGAAACACCCACAGACGTCTATCCATTTACAAATTTTTAAATGAAATTTCATCCATTTTCATCCAAATAAAACAGTTCCTCTAAAGAGAGGCTGAACTCTCACTGTTATTGACATTTCAAACAGACTGAATGAAGAAAAAAAATGCTTTTGGTTTTAGATCAACTGTCTCTTCAAGTGGAACTGTAGCTTTTTTATTAAATAATGGGAAGTGAAAGGGAAATTTTTCGTGCATAGGATTTCTCTGACCCATAATGTATGTTTGATGTTGCTAGTAAAGCAAATCTAGATGACTCATTAACTTGAGTATTTGACTTAAATGGACAAAATTACTAAATTACTTGAGAAGTATTGTTTGTAATATCAGGATTTCATAAAACTAAAAAGACCCAAACTGAGTTGTATCTTTTCTAAAACCAAAAACAACAACAACAACAACAACAACAACAACAACAACAAACAAATGTGCATGACTGCTAAGCAAATACCACATTAGCAAAGTCAGAAGATGTAAAGTACAAGCTCATAACAAATTTGTATTTTAAATTAGTAAAAAATGTGTGTTTTGCCTGCAAACGCCAATTCGTATACTTGCAACCTTAACAGAAATAACTGGTCAGACGGATGGCTAGAAAAGGTGAAAAACGTTATTGTGGACACAAAATTTCGCTATCATTCACCCAGTTTCTAGATTTGTCCTACTATTTGCACTATTGAAATAAGTGCGCTGACAGAATCACTGGGGCCAAAACAAAATGAGCTCAGAGAAAAGAAAGACGCTTATATTCTGGGGAGATGAGTGGGCTCTGCTCTTTACTCAGAGCCCACTTATTGATGTAAGTAAACAGTTTAGACATGAGGGACATGGCAGCAGTGTTAGTCAACAAGTCACAGATGGATGAATGGATGGAAGGATGAATGGACGGATGGATGCAAAAAGCTTTCATTGCTTCCTCTTAGTGCTCCGTTATATGGGAATGAGGGATGTACTGGGGTTTGCAGGGGGATGCTACATCCTCAGCACAAGGCAACAATGAAGACTATTCCCAAGTCATGTTCATTGTAAGTTTTACTGTCAAGTACATAGTGATCCTTCTCGTCTCATTTTGTCGGCACCAGAGAGGAACCACACGGAGATGGAGCTAGTGTAACAACCCTCTCAGAGAGGTAACCGAGTCTCTACCCACACAGACAAAAAACTAGTCACTCCAGCTCCATCATGCACTCCTCTGCAAGGACTCGAAAATCCCACATCACCTATGTTCACTAAAGGCTAAAAGGTTTCCACGCCTACTCTTTACACCACGGCAACAATTCCAACTTTAAAGGGAAGGGCCTCCTACACTTGCAGTCCCTATTAGCCCACAGGCATGTTTCCATGTATGTCGAGTTTGTGTGAACATCTGAAGGATAACGCTAGCAGGATCGGCTGCACGTTACCAGGCAGGTTCTCTGTCTCTCGGATGCTATAATTAGCGAGACAGTGCTCCCCTGGTATTCAATAGGAGGAGCTGCATAAATCAGTAGTCGGAGAATTAAGCCTCATCTGGATCGGACCGCTCTCCAAATCAGATCATTCTAGGTGTAATTGTTGTTAATTAACTACCAGCAGGTCTGTAAGTAGTCATTTTTCCAAACGTTGTTTAATGAAAAGCAAATATTAACCAATCAGCTGTCTCACCTCATTTTGAACACACACATGCAGACAGATCTGGCTTCATGCTGCACCTCTACGGTTTTTACATCAGATTTGACACCCTGCTGATGTTCCCTTGCCTCCCACTTCTGTCTGGAGTGCCTGCTATGCTGGTGTCAGCCCCTATCTTATCTGGAGAACGATGTAATGAGCCTATGCAGACTAAGAAGGAGAACCAGTCGCTGCAACTGCTGCTGAAAGCTACGACTGTGAGAGAAGGCGTGCGCACAGTCAGGCTGTCAGCTCGCACATCATCTAAATCTTTCTAAAACAAGAAGAATAATGGACATAAATAAAACAAACAAAAAAGAATACCATCAAACAGAGCCCCTGGAAGTTGTTACTTGTTGTAAAGTTCAACACGTTTGTTTGCTTCTACCACATTAAATTCCTTGATTATTCATTTTAATCCAAGGTTTTTCAATTGGTATGTTTAACAAAACTGTTAGTGGGCCGCACAGTGGCGCAGTTGGTAGAGCTGTTGCCTTGCAGCAAGAAGGTTCTGGGCTCGATTCCTGGCCCTGGTCTCTCTGCATGGAGTTTGCATGTTCTCCCTGTGCATGTGTGGGTTTTCTCCAGGTACTCTGGTTTCCTCCCAAAGTCCAAAAACATGTCTGTCAGGTTAATTGGCCTCTCCAAATTGCCCCTAGGAGTGAGTGTGTGTGTGCATGATTGTTTGTCCTGTGATGCCCTGTGACAGACTGGCGACCTGTCCAGGGTGAACCCTGCCTCTCACCCAGAATGTTAGCTGGAGATGGGCACCGGCAACCCTCCCAACCCCACTAAGGGACAAAGGTGTTTGCTTTTCAGATATGTTTTTCCCTTTCCACCTCTTGTCAAAGCACAAACAATCTGTCAGTCTCACAAACACCAACCGGTTTTTAATCTGCATCTGATTTGTGGCTTGCACCATAACACATCATGTAAAATTATGTACTTAGTCGGTATGTAACAAATAACAGAAGTCATATCAGAACACTATTTGGCCGCACTGTAAAAGGAAAATAACAGCAGCTGCGTATCCGCCCGTTGATTTTCTGGTTGCAGACATAAAAAAAAAACCTGTAACCACATGTATATTCATTTGCACCTTCAGAAAAAATATCTTAACCTTTACTTTACCTTGTTTTGTGAAAATAAAATGTAATAATGGAGAAATATGCACAAATTACGCTCTGGGAGCTGATAAGTAAAAAATGTCTTTTTTCTTTCTCTGGACAGATGGAAAGTTGATAAATTAATGGAAATTTTAGAAGAGGATAAAAAGATGAAATACCACAAAAAACATCACCTCGAAAACCAAGTCAAAGTTTTTGTTGACCTCAATTGCAGTCAAAAATAATATTATGCATATCTTGTGCAATGAAGGCCAAAGATTATTTTCTATAGTCTTCCACAATGCAGCTTTTTTTTTATCCATTACCTAACAGGAAGTTTAACTCTGTGACATATTTGAGCTGCAATTCAAATATTTCTGAGAACTACTGAAAGTATGTCAGCACATCCAAAAAATGAAATAAATGAGCTGGTGAGTAACACTTAGCTGGGGAAGCTGAATCACAAACTAGTGAGTGGGGGAAGTTGACAATTTTCATTACTGTCCGTTTTACTGAGGTTTACAAGTAGTTGCACATTTTACTGTGAGTCCCACTAAAATAGCTTTCAATTCAAAAACTTGTTCCAGAGAGCCTTTTGCAAGAAGTTGAAGATTGACAAACCTGTCATAGTCTTGACAGATCTCGCCCACGGCTATCAGGGCCTTTAAGTACTCATTGGGTTGGTACGGGTTAATGTAGTGCAATGAGCAGCTGTTCCTGGGGTCTCCATTGGATGCCGTGAAGTCAATTGCGACCTGACGGGAGGAAATGACAAAGTAGGTGTGTAACAAATGTGACAGAATAAGGCGTTCCTCTAAAATGCCCACATAAAACCACAGGTCTAGTCAAAATATCGTATTCACACATATTTGGACTTCCCAAATATGAGAAGCATTCTAAGTTATTCTACCAATTTCACTGTTAATTCCGGTCAATGTCAAAATACTGATTTTGAAAATTTGAAAAGTCAAAAAAAAAAAAAAAAAAAACTCACGAGGCAGTTATATTAAATCCATTGACAGATTGTTGATATATGGGGAAAAATGTGGAATTAATTATTTTATTTGGCCTTTTGATGTAGTGTACGGCTTGTGTTCCTCTGAGTACTCCTTTGATTGGTTAATTGGAACCTCATGACCTGAAAACACAGGCGTTACCTGAGCCACCTGTTAACTTCATAAACCAGAAAACACAAGAGAACTAAGGTAGAACAGCTGTGTTGAACCAAAATGAGGCTTTTTTTTTGGTTCTGGAGGTTCTGGTGCATAACAGACAGATTAATGTTGGTTCCACACTTTGGTTCCATCTACTTTTTCAAGATAATCTCATTAGATTCTGGTAATTCATAGAATCCAGTAATTAGATTAATGACCATTCACCCCCACTCATAAAACCATTCATTGTTGCTTGTTAGCGTTTATCTTTTTGCATGTGTATTTGTTTCGCTCTGTTTAACACTAGAAAATTGTTTGATTGTGATTGTATTGATTTATCTTTAATTGAACTGTAATTAATTATGATTATGAATAAACTGAAAAATTTACAGGAGTCTACTTGTGCTTTTTTTGCAGGTAGATTGCTCAATGGAAAGCTCACAAATTAATCATTGATAAAAATTAGACAGCTACACTAATTGATTTACAAACATTGATATAGGCGTTGTTTGACAGAACCTATTATCGGTACACTTGGCAGACCTTTATGTTGTTTGCGAGAAAATATTTTAGCAGTAAGGAAAGCCAGAATAATCTTGAATTTATTGGAACAAATTATGATCGAAGGTAAATACTTCAATATTTTACTCCTACATAGGCTGAAGAAAAGCTACAGCTCCCATACATTGTGCATGCAAATAGCTGCTTTCACCACATCCAGCAACAACAGGAGAAGAAGCTTTACAGAGGGCAAAGGTCACGAAACTGAAAAAAGTTTCTGCATCGCCTTGAGGCTGCTAACAACAAAAGTAGCACTACACATAAATAAAGAAAATTCTGTTAGGAGTCAGAACAAAGCATGCTGTGTTTTCCTAATGCAGAAAATGTGTGGATATTGTTAAATCTAGATAACTTTGCAGAATTATGCCACTCGAAATGCGAAAATTGCATCTTGTAAATACAGATTGCACAGCTCACTGTGAAATGAATCTGGCATCCTCCCATGATGTAATCCAAGAAGGAGTAGACTCTGTGAAGCTGAAAGGAAACCAAAAACACAAATGAACATTTCCATCATGTCAATCCTCAGGACAGATTTCATTAAAGGTTTATGATCTGCAACAGAATGATCACCTACGCTAACAGGATGTACGCTTCAATAAAGCAGAATTGAAGAATTGGACTGACTGTAATGTGGGAAAGCAGATAACACTGCTTGTAAAAACAGTGAATCCAAATGTCTGAAGAAATCTGCTTTTAAATTACTTTTTTGTTTATAAAACATGTTTTATGGTGCAGATTACAGTTAGACGGCAACAGTCTGAGACCGAGACTGAAACATCCTCGCTTCTTCTGAACTGTGTTGATATGATATGTTTCTGCAGCTGATGCCTACCTTCAAGTCACTGAGAATGACAACTCCTGAATTTTTATAGTTTCTCTTCTTCTGTTTGTACTTAGGATTCACGCAATCCCACGAAACCTTCAACAAACCAAGTGAAAGACAAAAAATATATATATTAAAAAATAAAAACAAACAGAGTGATGCACTCTAATGACATAAAGGCACCGTAACATTTGGTTCATGTCAGATAGATTTCAGCAGCGTGAAGTGAGAGGCTTGTTGGAAATGTTACACAGCCGACTCTCCTCTCTTCTACTTCCCTCTGCTTCGTTCTGCCTCTAAATTCACTGACCTTATTTCCACTGGAAATTTTCTGCATTTCCCTGAATGTGGCATAGAACTCGCCGATGAAATCATGCTTTCCTCTGGAGTCGTAATCCCACACTAGGCACTATGACACACACAAAAAACACTGCTTACTCCCTCAGCTTGGCTCTGAAAAATACAGTAATTACACAGCGCATCGCCTGACCAAAGAAAGAAAGCCAGAACTGAGGCAGTGAATAGCTTTGCATTCGTTAAACAGCACACATCTAGCACATAGAGCTATGTGGAAAACATTTTAATTTAAAATTTTTAAATTGATTTTGCTTAGCGATGCGTTAAAAACCTGCCGCGTCCTTATTTGACTGTATATTCCTAAATAACAGCACTTTCTTATGTGCTCGGACATATGTTTCGACGACTTGATTGGGCATAATGTTTCGGAATCTCACACTGGATTCAGGCAACATTTTATTTAAACTTTAAAGATAAAAGCGTTTTGAGTTCACGTGTGTTTTTGTTGAAAGAACATCTGAGTCAGACAAAATTCGGATCAGTAGATGGAGGCCTGAAGGAAAAGTAGAAATCAGTACTGACCAGTGAAAGTCTGACTTTAATTAAACAAACAACAAAAAAGAAGACAACTATAAAAAAAAAAGGTTACAAGCTGTCCAGTGCATATAAACAATAGTACTAAATTGTGATCTTTAGATTTAAAAAAATGGTTGTAAGAGAATCTACAGTGATCATGTCAGAAATGACACAAAAAACTGTAAAAACGCCATGCGCTTTACGAGTCCCAACAAGAGCAGCGGGCTGAGTGATGCAGCCATTATGCTGGGTGTTTACTGCTCCAAGCTGTGTGGGCAGTGCTTTAATGTGGGGCTGTTTCACTTGCAGGTTCAGTCACATTATGTTCCCAATAAATGAGCTCTTCAGAGAGCATTAATACACAGATTGACCATGGTTTCAGACAGCAGTTTATTTTTTCATTAAAACGAATTTGTGATATTGCATAAACGTACCAAATACATTGCGTCTTATTAAGCTGCGCTTTTTTTGTTTTGTTTTGGTCGTTCTCGTTTATTTGGCCAGGCGGCGTAAAAACACAAATGTGTCCGTCAAACATAAATCAAAAACAGACTTTCAGCTCTGCAGTGGTGGACATTTAGAGTTCCCTCACTGAGGATTACCTTGAGTTTCCGCTCTTCGTCGCAGCTGCACAGAGATATGAGTGACACTTTAAAGGGCTCCCACACTGGATTCAGGTTGTTTTTTATCACCTGTTAGGATGATAACAACAGCTCGTCAGAACCGTAATGACAAAACAGCTTTACACGTTTCCCTCTGTGATGTAGCCCAACCGCTTGGGTACCACTGGAAATTCTATCCAACAAACATAAAATGTGAAAATTAGCTTTGCGTTTCTGATCTTAATAGTAGTTATTTATTGCCACATCAACAAAAAACAGATACCTGCTGTAATTTCTGGCATTATTTTTGACATTTAATCCCTGTCCACTTCCATTCTGTATCATCAAAGGTACTTTAAATCATCTGTTGCATAGTGGATCAAAACACATTTGAAGTCAGCAGATGTGACTTGATTCAATACAAAGCACCTCGTAGTGAATAACAGTTTACCTGGCACATAGTGATCAATGAATGATCTGCTTTATATGTAAGATACAATCAACAACAGAAGACACACCAGCTTTTTAAAGGACTGTACCGTTTCACAGCAAAACATTTCACTTGCTTCTCTTTGTGATTCTTAGTTAAACAAAGGACAGTACTTATCACAGCTGTAGGGTAAACTCCAAAGTGAGATTAATCCAAAACGCACTGACTACCTCAGTTCTGTGGACAAGCTGTTCTGTCCCATCGTCGTTCATTCGAAATATTTCCAGAAATGGGTCTGACTTGCTGAAGAGATCCTGCGACAGAAGACACAAGAGAACTGGTAGTCCAGTGGTTTATGTGAGACTTGATGTGAAATTTCTCAGAAATCAATTTCTAAAACACCTTCAGTAATTTGTTTCCCAGCTTTTGCCTTTTAAATCGGAGGCAAAGTTCTGTTTGGCATAAGAACAAATGACCACGTCCAAACTCTGATCTACAGCATATTTCACACAGTTAATGAGATAGTTTGACAGACGGCAGCGTTGAAACTTAATGATTATTTCTCCTCCCCTGCTAAAACGTTCACTCCTTCTGATTTCAGGCGTCTTGACACAAAACCTGCAGCATAAATCATAAAACTAGGTGGAGGAGTGAAGCAGCAGCAAAATGACGAACCCGTTCAATTTTGGCGTGGATGTGGATAATTTTTCTTAAAGTTGCAAGACACAGAAATGGTAGTTGACAGATTAATTTCCTGCTCTGAATACTTTATTCAGAGGTTGTCGGAAAGTTTGCCTGAAATGAAAGACAAATTTACAGATGAACTGAATGAAGGCGAAGACACACATATAAAGTTTATTGCACACAGCGTACACCATGTTGAGATCTGAGAACTTCTTATTTTTAACTGAGGCTAAATTTTAGTTTGATTTTATATTTAGCTTCTGCTCTTTTTCTAACTAAATCTGAGCAGCCCTGTAATCCACTTAACGGCTTAATATTCAAGATTCACTTGTTTAGATTTTTTTTTTTTTTTTTTAATCTTTCATCATGTTCCAGGTAATCAAATTAGCTCAGCTGTGGCTTACATCATAGGTAAATAAACCCAAATAAACCTGCTCAAATATAAACGCATGACACATTTGGCATGCTTTAGCAGTACTTGCGGTGGCCTCTTATTATCTCGTCTGCAAGGTGTCTGAGAGCGGCAGCTATGCAGATTATTTAGGTCAATTGATTCTTCAGGGAGGAAAACAAATAATTACAGTTGTGCACGTCTGCTAGTGTGTATGTTTGTGTGGCTGTGGCACATGGATGTACACGCCAGGAGACAGTTAAGGACGCATTTCCCGCCACATTAGCCAGATAGGTCTCCTGAGGGGCAGTGGGGAAAATAAATCTGAAAAATAAAAATGCTGAGCTTCTGCGTTGCCGTCGCAACCAGTAGCCAGTGGGCTACAGCTCCATGGGCTGATGGGAAACGCATGTCATTTAATCTCTGACCAACATGGCATTAATGCTAATCATTAGCCTCTACCACAATCCATAATTAAACTCTCTGTTCAACAGCCCATATCCTTCCGACTTGCTTGAAAATGCTTTAGGATGAAGTAATGCAACTGGAGAAAAGGTGAAAGTTAACTGTTTTAGTGATTCAACTATTAAATGCAGGTGTTTGTGGAGAAATGTCTAAAGTGTCACTGTTAGTTAGAAAGATGATGCAATGAGACGTTTGTGGTTTGAGCTGGAGATCATTATTTACCTTCATTATTAGAACAGGCTTACCAGAGTGATTAGATTCAGGATTATGTTTAGGTCAGGGGTCAGATACAGCATTAACTGACAAACCAAAATGTTCGAACCAGTCTGAGAGTGAAGATGTGTTTCAGGTTCCTTTGGCCTTTAAGTTCACTCGTCTTTAAGATTCATACGTTCTCCATCTCAAAACCTCATATTTTTATAGAATCAGGATTCTATAAAACCCTCTGCCAGGAAAAACTCCAACAGCATCAGTTCTGCTTATTTACCAATGAATGTGAAACAGTTTGTTGAAAGTGACAGTAATAAAGTTTTACATTCCTTATTTTAAAAGGCAGCAATAGAATATTGAAATAGTTCAGCAATATGAGTGGACTGCATTAGTGCAGGGTGGCATTGTCTGGTCAGTGTCCCTAATTTAAACCTTCACAAGCAGCGGAACGACTGAACTTCATTTATATGCAGACAGTCAATTAAGACCCATAAATTATGGGTTGCATACATCAAACCTGAACAGTTAGCTTTGTGAATTTGCCCCAAGGAATGTGGAAAAGATGTGTCGCTAGCAGAAGTGCTCATAAGTCCAAGTTGAGTATTTTTGCTTCAAGTCAAAGTCAAGTCTCCATTGACTGAAATAAATAATTTCTCATGAAATTCATGAATCTATATTACGTATGCCTCTTATGTTGGCGTAGGTCAGGAGAGCAAGTCCTTTACTTCTTCTCCTTAATTCCAACTTTACAACTTCAGTAGTTTTAAAGTTTTAACATTTAGTTAAACATGCAAACAGCTGTCATTTGCTGCTTTACATAATTGTGAAAATCACATTAAGAAAAACATTTATCTTATGTAAGTGAATAAACAACGTGTTTTATTTTTTAAGATTTTTATCTGCTAACCCTTGTTCATTCTTAGCACAGCAGAGCATGTAAGCACGCTATTAATTGCAATGTAAATAAGGAGTAGAGCAGGAAGAAATGACAGACAATGTCTGAATGAAAAACACAAAATCATTTAATTCAGCGTTCATCTGGGTAGACATCTGTGCGGTCATTATTATGGAGCCACTGCTAACATGAACAGATTATTATGAAGCTTTAATAGCCTTTCTTCACAGCAAAATATGCAAAACAGTGCAGCAGCTGCCAGAGCTGTTGGTTATGGTTTACAGACTTTCTTGGGGTCATTCCTGGTTATTAAAAATCTGAACTGAGTCTTTATTTTAGCAGCTTCAGTGTAACTCAAGTCTGAGCGTAAGGCTCAAGTCACTTTTTCAGGCAACAGGACAAACATCAGCCGGGAAAAGAACGATTTCTTTAAAATGAATGGAAAACTCACTTTTTGAGCCAACTTTCTACAAGGATGTCAAACTCAGTCAGAGAGAAGGTCAAAACTTTAAACATGGACTAGATCTCAAGCCAAACAGTATTAATGTCCATTCATAAAAGTAAAAAAAGCAGTCCTTTAAATGAACCAAGCCAAGTATGGATTAAAAAAAACAATATGGAACCTAAAAATAATTTGGAAGTTTACGGCACATTTAGCTGCCCTCGCCTTCTCTAATGTTTCAGCATCCATGTTGGGTTTGATCACCTCTGGTTTCATCTGCCGTTTGCCCCACCCCACGCACCGCTACTGCTGTATTATTAGTGGAGTAAGTGGCAAGAGTAAGCATGCACCTGTTCACTGGTAAGCGGTAAAATTTGCAACATCAACATTCATTGTAATTCACAAGGTCATCTTTAGTGACACAGCAGTCTTTGTTTAAATAAAAAAAGATAACTGGAAAAGGTGGATCATTTTTAGAGATGATGAGTCACTTCTGCCATTTTGATTCCTACCTCCTTCCTTGTTCTCCAACTCTCTTATCTAACAAAAATACTCAGATTGCTTGAACGGCAACAGCAGAACAAGCAAACACTGCTGACATTCAGGTTTGCTGCTGACTGGTTTGCACAGATAAATGGCATACCTGCTCTTTATTCTGACTCAACACAAAACAGCACATTACAATGAGTAAACAGCAAGAAACTGCATGAACAAGACAGACCAAATAACTGCAAAGGTGAACCTCAGTGCCTTACAGGTATATTTTGAAAATTTCAGAAGTAATTAGTTTAGTTAAGGTAGTAGGTGACCTCTTCAAAATATAAATTAACATTTTTTCCTGAAAAGAAATGCTGGGCTTCATATCAAGTATGCTTTTTTTTTATTTTTATTTTTTCCCCCATCGCTGCTGCCCGCATATAAGAGTTCAAATAAATTTCCCAGTGAGAGCCTCTGCAAATTTCTTGCCGCAACACCAAAGCAAAATGCACCTGCCGTCTCGCTGTCCGCACCTTTAGGAATCAAGGTCACTCCATGAAGCTGCTCTCCCAGGGCCCTTTTCCGGAGAACTCAGTGTGACTTGAAATCATCAGAATTGTAAGTAGATGTGAGCTCCCGCTGCCTTTTTGATTGAAATGTGCCCAGGGCAGAGTTTGAACATGTGTGGGCCGGAGCAGCTGAGGTCAGTAACATCCCGCCTTAAAATGGCAGCAGATAAAAACACATTTCCCTTTCTGGCAATATGCGATGGGTAGCATTTTGATTTATAGATTGCTGTACTGACATTGATACTGCCATAATCACTTTATTACATTACTGAACTTACTGGCCAATATCATAACAGTATATTATTAGTGCAATATTATTTGAGCTCTTGTGATCTGCAGTGCTTTCTCCCATATTTAGTTAAACAAGTGATTCTTCTCACCTTATCATCCAGCTTCTTAGCACAGAAGGAGAGCTCCACATAGCCATTGTTGCCAGAAATTTCTTCAGCATGTACCTGAATGAAAAATAATAGTTCAAGATTTATCCATTAATGACTCATTTAATATTGTGCTGTTTTTTTTTGTGTGTTTTTTTTTTGTTAGTTTTTTTTTCCCCCCCAGATAAAACATTTACGCTTTCGGCATTTAATGGACGGTAAAGATGAATGCCAACATTTTAAAGAGAAAGGAGAAAATAAGTAATCACTTTTTCATTCAGATATATGAGTTGAAAGAGCATAAAAGCCAATTTGTCATTAAAAAAAGCATCTCAGCCACAATATTTAAAAAAAAGAAGCAGAAATTGCAGCTATAAGGGGAAAAATATTTATGTGATGCTTCTTTATTAACATTTAAGAAAGAACAGAGCAGCTAAGTGCTGCTGTTCAGATGCTCTCAAATAACCGATGGTGATACAGTGGAAAGACATCTGCAACTGTCTAAGGAATGCAACTGCTGCTAACTAATTGAAGTGAAATGCTTAGAAAGATTGGAAAAAAAGAAGAAACCAAGAGGTACATGTGAGGCTCCACTGGCTTCAGCCATCATGTCAAATGTTTACAACCTTAGATTCAGAAAAAGACAAATATGTTGTTGTTTTTTTTGGGGGGGGGGGGTTTGGGAAGAATGACAGAAGAAAGCCTGCTTTATATAAAGGAATATGGGAGCATGACTAAGCATTGGTGTGTATATAATTTGTTTCTTGAGTGGCTAAGCAGGGACACAGATAGTAGAAGGGTGGCACTCTAAAATTACAATTTTATCTGCATTCTTAGACGGCAATAAACAGCAGGCCAACATTTGAAATTAAAAAAAGGGAGAAACACGATTTTGTATCCTTCAGTATAAATTGGTTTTCAGTATGGAGTTTCCATTTGGAAATGCTAATCTATGTGCTCTACAAACAAAGTGATTGACAGCCCTAAGGGTGGTCAGCCACAGTGGCCAGTCAGATTTCAGGGTTTAGTTGGTGTCTCTTTTCCCCTCTGACATCTGTGACTAAGGTTTGCCGTCTAAACAAACTGCAATACTTTTTGAAAAAAAATAAAAAAATAAAAAAAATTGATCAATAGTATAAGAACGTCACATAAAAAATGTCAAGCAATATGGCAGAGGACTGATGACTTGATCATACATATTTAAAAATTACAGTAAAATAACTGATAAGTTATTGCTTTTTAACACAGTTATACACATTGCTGAATAGTGCGGGTGTGTTTTGTTTACCCATGGCTGTGTTTGCTGTCATGATGCTTTAAAAATGTGTTTTAGAGAAATTTCAATGGAAGTTAAAGGCATATTTTCACAGCTCCACACCTTTGAACCTCTATTTAATTCCTGCACTTTTCATCACATTGACAAGTTAATTCAGGTGAAATTTTGAAATGCTTTTACTTAGCTTGACTGCATGTCCTACCAAAATGGGAAGCCATTAGCGGAAAACTGCGAGACCCCCACTCCCACAGGTAACAGTCTCAACCTGCATCTATAAATCATGAAGAAGTCGAAAGTGGACTGTCCAGAGCAGAAGAGTAAAGCTGTTGGAAACTTGGCTTCTAAAAGCTTCCTGTTTTCTTTCTTTAAACTTGCTCAAAAGAAAAAAGTTTGGGCCTGTGGTTTTCAAGAATCAGCGAGCACCCTCTGCTGCTCCCACTGTGCTGCTTTTCTCCCACGCTCAGAACCTCAGTTTGTTCTCTGCTCGGCTGTGAGAGACTGACAGAAACCTGACATCAAGCTTCAGGAAGTGGAGCTGTGCAGCAAGCATGACCGAACCCAGACAAAACCTGACAGTGATGACTTGCATAGTGGAAAACTTGTTTTTTTTTTTTTGTTTTTTTTTATCAGAAAGCATAACAAGACATTGCAATGAGCAACAAGGGAAGATGAACAGTTTTGTAAAACATGAAGGTACAGGAGGTAGAATATTGTGTATTCTGAAATTTCCGTCTTTGCTGGGACTGAGTCTCTGTAGTTAAAATGAGGTTTTGCTTGTTCGTGATGAAGGCTGGGATTGTGCCTGGCTCAGGGTTTGATTTTCTGAGTAAGGCAGAGACACCGAGGTAGTTAAAAAAAGAAAGAGAAAAAAGTTTTGCTGCTTCCATGCAAACATTTCTTTGTAAGTAAGCAGCAGAGCTGATGTGTGCCTCATATGTTGTTGTTTTCAAATGTGTGTGTGTGTGTGTGTTTTATTTGAGTATTTTATCTCCTTGATCACATACTTATAAACTATACATTTGGTTAGATTTAGTCCTTTAAAGAACAGACACATATTTATGCTCATCTGCTAATGTGGTGAATTTTGATTTGCGATGGTACAGATCATACTTCCCTAAGTTGCCAAACGATTACTATAACTTTTAGTCTTAGGCTCTGGGGTGAAATAAAAAAAAAATCTCATAACATGTGTGGGTTCTGACAGATCACTTTCCCACTAATCAAAGAGTACTGGGGCACCTGGCAGTAAAATCTGGACAGAAATATTTTTTCCCTGACCTTATAATTTAAATATTTCTGCTTTAAAAATGCTAAAAGGAACTGGACAGACTGAATACCTGATTGCATTCAAAAACTGGAAGCATCATAAAACAGATAGCAGGAAATTAAGGAAAAAAAACAGAAAAGCAGTAAAATTCAGTTTTTTTTAAGCTGACATGTTGTTGGTGAAGAAAGTCAAATAAAATAAAGTTACTTGTTGCACATGTTGAACAAAGCCAGTCAAGAACAGAAAACACAATATATAGAATCAAATTCACATTGCTGAATATGTCAATGTAATGAACTGCAACAATTTATTTGGTTGTTTATTTTTTTCTTACGTTTGTACAAAAGTAATGAAAAACTTTTGCTGAATTTGTTTCTAGAGTCCACTGCACTGCACCTCTGTCCAATTTTAGGCATTTTATTGTTTATTGTTAGTTTTGCTTCCCAGTTGAACAGTTTATGACCGTAAGAATATTGTGTGATGTTAGCAATGATATCAGCATCATTGCAACAAAATGGAAAATAATAATCCAAACTGAAATTAATTAAGAAAACACAAGAAACAAATGATACAAGAACTAACAGAACAGTTGATCAATTCAACACAGAGGAAGCACTTCCGAAAACACACTGCTCATACAAAACTAACAATTTCAAAAACATAAACTTTGCAAAACTACTTTTAAGATCAAATGAGCTTAAGGAAACCTGGAAACATAAAACAAATTTCTACAAGCTAATTTAACATGATGCATCGTTGAACATGTCAACAGACATAACTGAGACTTTTCCACGAATTTTGTCAAATTGTGACGTAGTTTTCAGAAGGTTGTCTTCACAGTGCTGTTGTTATGGCTAAGTCAATTTGATTCAATTTATTTACTATATATTTATATAATGATGACACATTATAGCCACTGTGAATACTATAAACAAAACAACACAAAGCTTTTAACAGGAAGGCAACAACGTTGCTAACCAAAAACCATTTTTTGCCGACAATGTTATCATATAAAACTATCACTAATAACCACCGCTTGGTGATTTTATCTGCTTTGGTTTGTGTGAGAAAGTTCCAGCTGCGTCTGGTTCCCTATTAACCTATAAAAAGATATTAATTCACGTGTTGAATGAGGCTATCTCCATTGTTTTTCGCACAGGTTCATTAACTTATGAGTGATTACTTTTCACACCTTCCTCCACTGAGTTGTTACAGGCTTTTTCTAACGGGGAAATGGCTATTTTGACTCTCATTTAATGAGTTCACATTGTATCTCACAGCACAACTAATGACCTACAAAAATATCCTCCCTGTTTATATCTAAATTGCCTCTGCTGCATCTGAGGAGACATCCATTCGCTAAGATATACCTGATATAATTATCTTCTGCCTATTGCCTGGTGCACTGTGTAATAAATGCTTCATGTCACTGGGGGCGCAAAAGGATCAACGTTATGAAGTTGCTCTTCCTATTCTTCCATTCCCCAAAAGGATCAGGAAATTCCCCTCCTTAATATTTCAGCGTTAATCTGAAGACCTACAAGAGGTTAAATTAAATTCTTGCTCTGGTGTTAGCTCATTAAGTTAAGATTTAGATTTTCCTCTAATAATGTCTCATGCCAGCTTCAGCAAAGCAGCCTGATTTAAAAATTTGAGATATCAAGCCCAAAACCGATGGCTGAAAAACTGAATTGTTTGAAACAATCCAGCCTTAGGAATAACAGTCCCATCAGACGTGAATGGACCTTTCACCATCTCATTTGCACTAGATTTATTATAACAGTGGGCCTTGTGATGCAAAGTGCCATTAAAGCGGTGCTTAATCAACCAGCAGCATCTCTCTTCCTTATAACAGCACCTTGTTCAAAGTATTTATAACTCAAAAATCTTTATAAAATGCTGTAATGTTTTAATGACAAACTTCAATGTATTTGAATAGGATTTTGTAAGACAGACCAATGGAAAGCAGCCCATAGTTGATGAGTGCTTCCAGTTTTCCTCAAGCCATAAAGGAAACGTGTACATGTGGAACATGTGTCGAGATCTGGCTACATGTATAAGATTGCTATTGTGTAGCATCATGGTGAGAGGATGCCTGTTTCCATAAGAGATAAAAAAACAAACTGTGTGGCAATGGATGAAGCTAAGTAAAGGGTAAATCTGGAGGAAAACGTGTCAGATGCCTTCAAAAAGCTTTGGTGTAAGTTCAATCTAGAGTTAAATCTTGTTCAAAATCTGTGGCAAGACTTAAGAATTTCTGGTCACTGGTCAATGCTTGCCATCCTTTGTGATGCACTTTCAGCTCTTTTGAAAAGAAAGAAACATAGTTAAAAATATGTGTCTCTACATGTGGAAAGCATTCAAAAACACATTCGAAACACCTTTCCGTTGTAATTGCAGTGCAAGACAATTCTACAAAGCACTGACCCAAGGAAACTGATCACGTCCACAACATACTTTTCAGAATTTCTTTGGGGAGAAAAATTGAAAACAGTGTTTCCTTTTACTTGTGTTGATTCATCATATAAAATCCTAATAAAATGTCACAAAAGTTCAAGGTGCATAAATATTACTGCACCTTGAAGTGTAAGTAATTTCTCATGGACGCTACTGACTTCCATGAGCTGTGTGGTGGAGCGATTGATAGGAATGAATCTGCATGGTGCAAAAACACTGAAAGGATAATTTAGAAAGATATTGATCTTCAGGAACTCCTCATAAAAACAGTTTGGAGGTCCATTTAAAAAAAAAAGGAGAAAAATCTTCAGAAAGAAAGAAACTAAGAGTGTCAGCACCTCTTGGTGTGAGTGTAAACTGGTGACGGCTTGAGAAAATAAAAATCTGAATAACGTCATTTTTGCCATACAGTAATTCAGTACGCAGGAAGGGTCACAAACATACAGGAAAAAGCTTACTGTGATGGTCGACTTGCCGGCATATTTCCCATACTTAAGCAGCAATGGTTTTATCATCTTCTTCTGGGCCACGATCTGCAACAAGCAACACAAGCAAAGCACCTTTAAGCCCGCCGCAGTTAGCAGGAGTGTAAAAGGGTCTGAGTCATCACCAGCAGAAACTGTTATCAATCATAAACACTAGACCTGCAAGCAGCCAAACACATTATCAGGTGTCTAACATCACAAATAAGGAATACGAGCCTGAAAGAACTGAATCTGTCATTCTTAGTCATGTTATCTTTCTATAGACCATCAACAAACCGAATGCGTAAAACAGAGGCGTCTGCCCACCTGACCGAGCGTGCACTCCATGCCTCCCAGGAAGTCATCGTCGCGCGTCCCTATGCTGTGAGTCCCGTGGATGTCGTAGACCTCGAATCGCAGCTTCTGCACCTCCTCGAAGTAGTAATCCAGACCGAAAACCTTCGCGAAGAGCGGGTGTAAGTTGCTCTTGATTACTTCTGTCCTGTCCAGCTGAGAGCAAACACATTCAAAATCAGGCGTCCAACAAAGATGCTTAAGAACTGGAATATTCTCCACTGCGAGGAAATGAAACCAATTTGAAACCAATTTCACAGACTGTTTGTGACATCAGCCTTTAGTGTAAATCAAAAAAAATATATATAACTTGCAGCACATTCATCTTCTTACTTATTTTGAAGAACTGCAGAATATACGGCCATATGTTATTAAGCTTCCATCCGGGGAACGACACGAGAGACGGCTGGAGAGCTCTGACATTTAATCGCAGCTTGGAAAAAAAAAATCTTGTCTATCTTTGACTGACAGAGAAGAAGAAGATGAACTCACTTAGACCCCATGTGCTCAAGATGTTGGTTTAGCAATCACACTTGAACATTTTTATGCGGCATAAATCTTCATAAGGGCGAAACTAATTAAAAAAAATTCTAGTCTGCAGAACATAATATTAAAAAAGGTTTTGTATTCCTGATCTGTAAAAATTCTTACAATCTTTGATAAGAATGTTGTATGCAAACATATAAATCTCCCAAAATGGAGGGAAAACGGTCTATTATGAGGCCAAGAAGAGCTCAGCCACCAGTAAATTAGAGACGTCGAGGGTTTCAGCGGTCATCTAAAATGTCACTTCAATATCTGTCAGTTATTTCTGAGTCATTTCTTCAGTGTCAGTGAAGCAGGTCCAGACTTTGTCGTATGAAGACTTTAGAATGGGGTGACAGAGCTCTCTTGTCTCTCATTTCTCGCTCTGGTGGAGATAAGATAAGACAGAAATACAGATTTTCGGCTTGCCATGATTACACCAGCAGTCAAGGGTTTCTTGTAAGACTTTTTTTTTCCCTATTAGAGGGATGATGATCTGTCTTCTAAAATTGCCTGCGCTCCATAAAGATAGAAGAGGAAAGCACTGTCTAACATGTCATTTAAAATCCCCAGACATCTCTTGGGGCTCAAGCGTGTTTTTAAAGCCTCAAACGAGATTTTACTTTAGAAATCAATCAAAGTCATTTTAAAAATACTGTGTCTGCTTCAGAACAAAGTCAAGGCCCCTTCTATTTATTGTGCTATTTTGTTCAATTTTTTTTTTAATTCATCAAGATCAACCCTCCTGCTTCAACATGCACATGTTTCTAGTGCCATCACATAAAGCAACTGATCAGTTTTTTATGAATAGTTTGTTTTTTTTTCTCCCCTATAGTCACATTTTTCTTCTTTAAAAATGTTTTATTGTCTTACGTAGCAGCACAAAGTCTGGGTTGCATGCAGAAAAACTGCAAGGATTTCAGGAAAGTTCTGCAGCAATAAAAGCAGTATGGGGAGAGGAACATCACTAACTTCAGTAGCAAATTGTATATTAACAATCTTTATAGTCATTTTGCCAAGTTCATACAAAAACTACTTATAATCTAGTAGATGCATCCTAATGTTGTTTTCCTCCTGAATCAACCTCTCCGTTTGTTGAAAATGATAGCCAGGCAGAGCGACTCGTAATGAGCTCGATCCAGCACGTCTACCTCTGCAGTGCAGTTCATACCATCATCACCCTTCCAATTAAGACCGGAGGGAGGAAGTAGGAAAAAACTTAAATTGTTTAGCAGCCGAAAAGAAAGAAGTTGATCGAGAAGCTGTTCAGGTAAGCTAAGCAGTTCAGGTTCAGGCAAAATGCCATGTCTGTGTGAAAGCAAAACACCTAATTATTTACAGATAATTTGTCGAAAAAAAATCTCACTCTTCTACGTCGTTTCTGCAGATAGCTATTACTATCTGCAGAAATGCACTGCGTCCAGTTTTAATGATACCAGCTTATATTTTATTTTATTTTATTTTATTTTATTTTATTTTATTGCTGTTCACACAAATTCACACAAAACAGAATTAGCTGGGAGGGTTTTCATGTGAAGGTGGTGAAATCCTGCAGTGAAAATCTATACTTTGTTGCCCAGTTACATTTTTGATATCGGTGTGAGTGAAATAAATATATCTCTGGACAATATGATGAGGAACCTATTTTTATGTCAAATGTTGGACCTTTACTCTAAAATGAAACAATGAAAAGCAACAAACAAGTCCTCCAATTAAAGTTTTCATTGAACTGATAATTTTCACTGTAAAACCAAGAAAGATATTGTTGGAAAAAAACAAAACAATATCTTGCTTGGAAATATAAACAAATAAGTAACATATTTATTAGTTTATATTTCCTGAAACACTCTTGACAAGAGCTTTATTTTTGTATGCTTCAAAGGTTGAGAGATGTATGTTACAAGTTATGTAACCTGCTAAGTTGACAACACAGATTTTTCCTTTTTCTGGGAATACCAAAATAAAAAAAAATCCCCAATTTGGATTAGGTACAAGTCTGTGTCACTTTGACTATGATTATGTAACTGCCATTAACTTTATTGATGCAAAATGCAAAGCAATTATCCTTTTGGTTTGCACAGAAAATGACAAACAAGCAAAATACATTTTGTAAGAAATATGTGAAGTATTCAGAGTACCTCTTTGGATTTTTAAAAAGGTCTCTTTCCAGATGAAAAAAAAAAAAGAAAGAATCTGAATGAGGATGTTAGATGAACACCGAGCCAGGAGATGAATTACTTCACTGAGACAGTGATAGATCGGCTTAAATTAACATATTTTAGCCCCTATTCATCAATAAAATTATCTGCATAGAGCTGCCTTTCACCAAAATGGAGTGCTTTCAGAAAGAAAACTGGATAAAGGTGGATAGATGGATGGATGGATGGATGGATGGATGGATGGATGGATGGATGGATGGATGGATGGATGGATGGACATTCACTCATCCACCAACTCTCCCTGGCATCAGTCGTGGTGATCATATAATAATGCCTCTTTCTTGTAATATGCTAATGAGTCAGAGTGAATGGCTCTATACTGGTACTGATCCAACCCTCCAAGAGGAACAAAACAACAAAAGGCCTCCTACTTGCATGAATGCATCCATACATCTCTTTCTATAACAGCACTTAGCATCTAGAAATATCTCACTCCGCTGTCTTTGTTCAATGCAATACACTTGACGTTTATGATTTTGATTCAAATTTGTACCACTTGATTGAAAATTTGCAACATGCTGAGAATAAGCATTTGCCCCCAAACACTTGAGTAGCAAGTGATTTGATTGAAGTGCAGACCTTCTATTTTTTTTTTTTTGTTCTGTAGTTTTGGGCCTTTGACTTTTGCCTGCAATCTTCTTTTTTCCGTACATGTTAGCGAGTTTCGAGGGAAAATTAAAATGTAAACTCTACACTGAAAGGCTTACCAACTTTCTACTACTCATATTGTGTAAAAGTAACACTGCACATTAATTTGACTTGCTTGAATAAAACAACAAAAACAACAGGTGTATTTGTTTTAAGAATATTGAGACTTGGTGTTAATAGGAACTCTGGATAAACACCCATCCGTGCGAACAAACATTGCATAGAAACAAATTAACAACCAGCTTCATTTGTGCCCTTAGCACTTAATGTTTTTTTTTGTTTTGTTTTGTTTTCCAGCTATCTCTCTCTCTGCGCCATCTGCATGCACAGATTTGGAGCGAGTCTGTTTGCTGATGAAGAATAATCAGAATCATATAAGGCGGATTGTAATGAAGCCTGTGCTGCCGGCTTGTTGCTGGTGTGAGGCCGGAGCCATCCATAAAGAGACAACCCTCACATGAGAAATGTGTTTCTGTAATGAGCTCCAGCAGGAGGGTCCAACATTATGAAACACCAACAAACAGATCGGATTTGGGTGAACTCCCGGGAGCACACACACGCAAGGAGCAAAAGGGGGCGGGGGGGAAATGGTTGGTGACTGCACAAAATTTCATAAAGTCACATAATCATCATCATCTGCCCTGTCTTATATGTCCTAATGAGATAAGTGCTCTTTTTCAAATTGCCGTGGCCAATACAAGCATAAGCGCAGAGGGGTAAAAAAAAAAAAAAAGAGGCTTATATGCTGGGGATGTGAGTGGGCTCTGCTGCTTACTCAGTTATTGACGTAAGTAAACAGTTTACACAAGCAGAGGTACCTCCCAGATGTGAGGGATTTGACAGCAGAGTGTCAGACAACAAGTGCTTACCGTCACAAGTTAGACAAATGGGAATGGATGGATGGATGGATGGATGGATGGATGGATGGATGGATGGATGGATGGATGGATGGATGGATGGATGGATGGATGGATGGACAAACTTATCATGTGTGAATTAGTTCATATGAATCTGCGTCACAAAGCGAGGCTAAAAATATCCACTCATAAACTTATGCTACACTGAACCCACGATGCAACCGTACAGCTAATTGTTTTTATCTGCTGTGTCTAAAAATAGCCTCTTGTGATTCCCTGGTCATACATCCCCAAGCATTTCCTACAAATACCCCCAGGAAGAACATCTGGCAGAGGTTTACTTCAACATGCTATATGAATATATATATATATATATATATATATATATATATATATATATATATATATATATATATATATATATATATATATATAATTAGATCAGGCATTCTCTGCAACACTTTAACACATCATTCACTTAGCAGAGCCCTGGGTTTCGGCCTCCTCTCACGAACATAAATTGCCTAATTAATAGGTAAATAAAAAACCTGCTTCTCAAATTTCACATCAGCTTAGGTTCAAATAAAGACCATCAAATGTTAAATATGCAGTGACACTAAAAGGGCTCACAACATCATGTGTTTTTAAACAGTGAAATTGCTGTTGCAGACAGTGTTACTTAACATAGAGACCTCATTTGCCAGCTGTATGCAATTATGTTAACCAGTTTTTTTATGTTTGTTAAATGCCCAAAACAGTCATTTTTAGGATAATTACAATTACTTTCTTTGAAATAAAAAGTTTAATTACAAGTTTATTACCAGGCATTTAAGCAACTACAGAAAGCCCAGGTGACTGAAATATTTTTCAGTCCCAGAATTCAGTTAAATGAAGGCACAACTGTGAACGCAATGTAAGGCAACACCTCAAACAGATTGCTTTCTAGTGTGACATCATGTGAAACAAAAGAAATTACTCAAGATATCAGAAGGAGAACTGTGGACTTCCACAAATTTGTTTTATCTTTGAATGCAATCTGCAGACACCTGAAGTGGCAATGTTCACCTCAAACAATTATAAGCAAGTATAAACCACATGAAAATGTCCATTCCTCATATAATTTAAGAAAGAGACAGGTTCCCAGTGGATTTTACTACAAAATGTGTGTTATCCACAGTGGAACACGTTCTGTACCAACATGGGTTGGAAGGTCACCCAGAGAGTAAGAAGCCATTACTTCATAAGCAACTTAAATGCAAGATTACAGTTCCAAATATGCTCAAGGACAAAGACCTTAAAGTCTAAAGTAACTGTTTGACACTAATGCCTGTTGGAGGAAAAACGGGGAAGCCTGACAACACCATCCAAACTGTCTGGGAGTAGCAGCATCATGTTGTGAATCTGCTTTGTTGCAGGATGGATTGTTGCACTTTACAACATCTCACACATTAGCCAGAAAGTTGCACACAAATTGGTTTTCCACATGGACAATGTGCCAAAGTATTACCACAGTATTACTTACAAAAGTGCATTAAGGGCAACAAAATTAATGTTTTAGAGTAGCTGTCCCTAAGCCATGATGCAAGACCTGTTGAAGATTTGTGGGCAGGAATGAAAAGGTGTGCGCAAGCAAGACAGTATACATATCAGATTTAGTTGCACTAGGTTTGTCTGGGGGAATGAGATAAAAATTCCAGCAAACTATTATGAAAAGCCCATTAAAGGAATAACAAAAATATTTCACCCAAGTCGTGGCTCAAGACGAGAGGAGCTGCCAGCAAGCAGCACAGTTTAAAAGGTAATTTTAGCAAATAATGAAATATATGCAAACTTATGAACCTGGAGGGGAAAAAAAAATCTAGAATAATATCTTATTAATTAATCTGGCACTTATTAAATACAATTAATATTTCAGAAGTCCTAAATGACCTGAAACATGAAACGAAACATCAAATGTAAGATATTGAGAATCAAATTATGTGTGACTTTTTAAACAGTGCAAACGTGTAAAAATGTAAATATCTGGTTTCAACTTGATGTCATTGTGAAATTCAAAAGTCCCTTGTTTTTAAATTAGAAGGATGCTGGTCAGAGCAGATGCCCTTCTGTCTTTCCAATGGAAAAAATCTTGTTTTCAGATTGACCCACTATGCTTATCTCTGTTTCTTGATAAGTCTGGGAATCATTCTTTTACGTATAATTTAAAAGACAGTCAACACTTTTTTAAAACGTCTGTCCTTTGATCTGGAACGACAAGAAGATGCCACCGATACTCTGATCCAGAAGTCTTAGCGGCATAATTGCCAGAATGAGAGAACAGGGGAAGACAAGAAGAGAGCCTCACCTCAATCCACTGCCCATTGTTCTGCACCATGAGCACGACACAGGGGTCTGACTTATTCAGCGTGTCTCGGTCCAGCAGAGCTTTGCAAGACACACGCAGCTCAACTTTGGAGACACAGGTAGCCGGACCGCTCAGGCTGGTCGCAGGGGAGGTCGCCTCCTGAACTTCATTCATCGCGGCTCAAGACGAGAGGAGTTGCCAGCAAGCAGCAAAGCAGTGTGATGTGAAACTGTTGGTAATAACTCCAGGAGGGAGAAGAGAAGATCAAGCGATTGGCTGCAGGAGCTCAGCACAGACTTGGCACACTCACAGGAGACAGGACCCTTTTGGCTCGGTGCAGATGTCACAAAAAAAACAAAAAAAAACAGGGATTCTTGCAGAGTCCCAGGGGAGTAAACCAAAGCAGAGTTGTTATGACTGTCTGCCAGAGTTATTGTCTTGTGAGGAATCTCATCTCACCTCTCTTGTGATGTGAAGTTGGCAGGGTTGGATATTAGACATCTGGGTCAGATTCCTGCAAAGATTAAGTTATTTAAAAAAAAAAAAGAAAAAGAAAGAAAGAAAGAGAAAAGTCAACATGACTGCATTTAATATCAGCATTAAAAAGGGAAGAGTCAATCTGAATCACAGTCCTTTCTATTGAGATGCATGAACGAAATAAGACATCGTACAAATTGGTGCGCTGCAAATGTTACAGAATGAGAAAGCAAACTCCAACATACATCTATAAATAGGGTCAGTGGTTTTCCGTTCTCTATAACAGATAGATAAAAGCAGATTAGAAATGCAGATTATCTGCTTTGTTTTGTTTTGTTTTGTTTTTTATTTCCCAAACAAAAATATAAACCACCCCCCGAGTTTTTTTTTTTTTTTTTTTTTTTTTTTTTTTAAACAAATGTCAGTAGCAGCTGCCTAGTTTATGTTTCCGTAAGCAAAGGGATTGAATATGTGAGAACGGGCTGAAATTTATCCTCCACAAAGTGACACAAACGAGCTGCAGGTTTGCCTTTCAGCACCACGGACAGTGGCAGCGGCGATGTTCGAAACACTCGAGCTTTTCCAACAACACTCGGCCCAAACTTTAAACTCCACAAGGCAGCAGGTATCATGAGATTTAAAATGCCACCTCCTCTGTTTCGTAGAGCGAAACTTTGACTATGTTAACGAACAAAGAAATGTAAGTCCAGTGAACAAAAGCTCTTGAGCGCTTAGTTAATAATTCATCGCCGATCGATTAACTCTAAAAATCTACATTCTTGTGAAAACAGGTCCAGTCAAGGTTAACGCAAAACGATTGATCCCACATTTTCTCCTTCAAACACAGTCAGCCTATTTCTACTAATAAAAATCATCACTGACTGAGTGATCATTCATTTTAGAACAACCTCCAGTTTAACGGGAAAACACGTCAATAACAACAAACTCAGCGGGACATTTTCCCTCCCTACCTGCTGTTGTTCTTTTACTCCCGAAAGAAAAATAACACTTGTTTAATCCGCTCTTACAAAATAAAAGAAGAAAAAAAAACAGATTGGTTTCCGTTTTTTTTTCTTCTTCTTCTTCTGCTCTCTCCTCCGAAACTCATTGGCTCAAGCGTGGAGGAGGGAGTGGGCTCGGCTCAGAGAGGAAGAGAGAGGAAGGAAATGGAGAGAGTCCAGCAGCCGCTGTGATGTTTACGGGTTGGCTTTTAGCTGGGACGCGATTATTTCAGTTCAAAACCCGAGTCCATAAAAGGAGGAGGAGGCGGAGGAGGAGCGGAAAGGGGGCAGGGGGAGACAAGTCTGTGGAAGTGCAACACAGAATGACATCTGATAGCTCACACAAAGCTCTAAACCAGAGGAAGATCTGTGCAAAGCGTTTGAACGCATTAAAGCTGTGACCCATGAAGAAATCCATAAAATATTATCCCCGCTCCTTCTCTCCCCACAAGTTAATCTCTGTTGCAAATGGGACTTTAATTATAGATTCAGACTAATATGCCTGCCAGATATTTCTCCAACATCAGCATGTTATACATATATAAAATGACTCAATTTGCTGCAGTAGCCCACCTGCCTACCAACAAGTTCTGCTAAAAGCCACAAACAGGAAAGCCAGCGCACATACAGACAGCTGCATCTGTGAAATGATGGCATGAATTTCAATATAAATTGTGTAGATTTGGCTCCATAATCGCACACATATGCTTCTAAGTGTACAACATTGTCAGTCTTGACAATTAAAGGAAACTGATGTGTCAGAAAGTTGAGCTGGAGTTCAACATGTCATCATTGAATCCAAAACGTGTCTGCTGTGATCGTCCAATGAGGGAGAACACACGCAGAAATCTATTAGTTCGTCCCCAGACTCTTGAGTCCAGGAAAAGAATCTTGCAGGCAGTCAGTCTCATGAAGGTATCCATCCATTGGCTGTTTCTACTTGCCTTCCCGGGTCACAGGGGGACCGCGTGTCATTGAGCTAGAGGCAGGACACACCCTTCAAATAATTTGAAGTCCATCATTCTGCAGTTTGAGAGACATGCATGTGAATGGCAGATGCCAATTTTAATACGAATGAAGATCCCTGCAAAATCTCTCTGATATAAGATTGCACAATATGATTCATCTTTGTCGTAGTACCTTTGGAACAAGTACTGTACATCTTGTGTGAATGTGTTGCCACAAGCAAGATGTCTTCTCTCTAAAAAAAAAAAAACTAAAAAAAAACATGACAGTACAACCTCTGTTTGCAATTCTATATCTGAAAGAAAAGGAAGACATCTGGAACAATGTCCTTTGAACAGATCATTCAAAGGACATACACAGTATGCATTATTGTATTTTTACACAGTAATACACAGTTTAGTGAAAGCCAAATACTGCATACCAATACAAAACAACTCCTTTGAAGTCTTAACCATGGTGGTGAAAGGATGATGATTCAGGGACACTTTGCTCCCACAGACTCCATACATCTGACCATTATCTACTTTGTACACCGAATAAATACATAATTCACTTAATATGTGAAGCCATCTTTCTAGCAGCTGAGGCTGGGTCATCAACAGGTCAACAATCTCCAGACTCTACAACAGAATTGCTAGGAAAACAAAAGAATAAAGTCCAGTTAAAAACCATTCTGAAATCTGAGTAAAGTGTTGCAAATCAAACCTTAATAGAGTCTGGTACAACTGAAAGTGCATAAACTCATTGAACTGAAGCGATGTTGAATTTCTCCACAGTGATGTGAGAGTGATAAGGTCATACAGAAAACAACCAATTGAAGTTGTCCAGATAAAAGTCGGCACAATTTTTTATTTATTTATTTAGTTTTGGCTTTAATTTGATAAATAACAACAATGAGGAATTGGCTGCGTGATTTTAAATGCTTGACGTTAGACATAGATAACTGCAGAAAACTGAAAAGATCATTTGTATTGCTTAGCGCATTAAACACCCCAATGACTGAAAGAGTGTACTTTCTTTTTTACCATGACGACATAAAGTCCTTGAGAATCTGATTTATACTGTAGATTTTTTTTTTCCAATTCACCTCTACCGTATGTTACATAATGTACTGTTCATACACAATGTTTGCGCTTCAACCTTTTCTTAGTCCACCCACAAAACGTATTACATTGATGAATGCGTTTCCAGATATTGCATAACATCGGTGAACTGATGAAACAGAATCCACTGAGTTTGAGAAGCAGCAGGACCAACGAGCTCTAATAAATTAAATTAAAATTTAATCATTTGCATTTCTTAATGAAAGTATTTACACATTCAAAGTCATTTGTGTGGTTGTTTGATTTTAAATGCTAAAACCTCAACATGTCCTTCAAGCAAACACTTTTTTTTTAAAATTGTGGCAGAAGCTTTAAGAGGCACTCAGAGAAGACATCAAGGTTATTTGAGTCTTTCCAGCAACATGAAAGAGAAAAATATTAGTTTTCTGCTTAATATTTATCTGATATGTTGAGTTGATCATTGTGTGAAAACAAAATTCTCTGTCAGAATTCCCTCACAGCTTGATATCATACCTAAGATTTCTTAAAAAAAAAAAAAAAAAACTATGTCTGGATTTAAACTGTCTGTTGCTTAAACATCATCTAGTCTCAGTTCTCTTGGGCAGTTTTCACCCTCATTGCCTCTTCTTTTTCCGTGGGCTCTCAGACTTGGTAAGAAGCGTCTGCTCTCGGGCGCACACCTGAGCCCTGTTACGCCACAGCTCCAAACAACAACCATCTGCTGCTGCTGCTGTCAGTCCAGCACCTCACAGAACGTTCCCTGGCGTTTACACATGGATTATCTATTCATGCCGCCTCTTCCCCAGTCGCATCGACAGCGCAGCTTGGTGCTGCTGACCAAACCCGCATGCGAAATAAACCCTAACAGGAGGACTTGAGACTATGGCCTAAGGCACAGGCGTCAAGTTTTCTCTCTGCCTGTGTGCCATTATCGACAGTCCTCTACCTGCAGCTCCCCTGAGTGGAGGTATTTTTGGACGCCGGAAGGATTTTGCTACCAAGGACTATTGTGTCTAAAGTTTCTCTCACTAATAAAGTCGGATCAACAACGAATGATGGACATGCATGTGAAAAATAACCTATGGCAAGCTGACAATGATCAACTGAATCTGACTGGCGTGTGTACCAAGACTCAGTGTTTGGTCAATTATTTCTTTGCTGTAAAATGTTTCCCATAAATAAATCTTGTACTGTTGAAAAGCCTGTTTTTTTTTATTTGGTGTGTTTTATGCCCATAAAATACTTTAACACATCTATGGTATTGCCAAGTTTACTCTAATGGAAACATGTTAGTTTCTTGATTTGTTTAATAAAATGTGAAGAAACAGGAAATATTGGCAATTTATTATTTCTTTTACAAACAGTATAGGAGAACCACATACAATCAGGATCGTGTGGCTCCTCCTCCTCCTTATACTGGTCACCAGACTGGTAACACGCTGCTGTCGGATTGCATTCCAGTCCTCAGGCATCATTGGTTTGTCACACTGCAACCAACACCACACTCAATTTAATCCCACTAGTGTCTAAAGGCTTTGACTGAAGTTAGTCCTGACCTCTCCACTGGTAAATTCTGGAGGAAGTGTCCGATGAACCCCATTCTCTAGGACAAAACGTTTGCATCTTGAACAACAGACTTCAGTTTCAAACACTGAAAATATAGGACTGTCTCAGATTAGAGAATCTCATCTTGGTGTCTCTACATTGACATTGCCTTCAATAATAAAAATCATCCTCTTTCCAATGAGCGAGATGACAGCTAACACCGTTGCACTGCCTCCAGCAGAAGCCGTTAGGAGTTTGCAAAAAGGACATGACATGGTTATCATGGTCATCCACTCGGCTCTGTTGCTCGACCCATAAACGGACCTTAAAAACATGGAGACATTTAGGGGGAAAGAAGCAGCTCTGTATGTAAAGCATTCAAAACAAACAATCCAATAAATATTATGCTAATATTTTTTTTAAGTTCAGTCATTGGAGCAACACTTTTCAGGAAGTTGAGCTGAAAACGAACACGGGTGTCAGTCTTTCAGCTGATTTCAAAGCTGCTACCAATGAAATTAGTGAAATGGGCAAATCTTTATCCATTTATAACATTGTAGCAAACACACCACATTGAGGAAATATAGAAACATTTGTTAAACCATTCTTCTGAGTAAAAGATCTTCATACGTCAATTTGAGTGTTCAGACTTTACCATAAGCAAACACATAAAATCCTCTGAACATGATTTGGAGAAAAAGACCACATTTGTCTAGGCAGGTCTAAATTCAGGCAATCTCTCTCCTATACAGAGGAGTGTATTTGCACCTCAGTCACTTTATAATTTATCTAAACATATTAAAAACAAAATTACTTCACACGTTTAGAAATACACACGACCCCTGTAGTAGCAGTAGATGTTAATAGTTTGGCAATATTTGCTAGCACATTCGTTTGTGCCTAATTAAAATTTTGTTTTGCCTCCCAGCATAGCAACAAAGTCGCACTGAGATATTTTCTTTCCGCTGCTCAACCCTGATTTAATCTCTACATTGTCTATTAGCATATGGTAAATTACACAAATCTTTAACAATTACAGTATGCTGAGTTTGGCAGAGGTTCTTTGGCATTTAAATTAACATTTTCTCTTTCACCAGTTCAAATAAAAATGAGTCCACTCAGCCTCCACATACTGTGTTCTGGCAATGCATCGGATCATTAAATGAAGAAAATACATGAAAATTGCTTTAAACTTGGCAAAATAAGCATCTTTACAGAATTACAGTTCAATTTAAGATTACACTTACATTTCTGACTAATTTGAAGGTGTTATTGTGCCCCCTACTGTTGGACACAGCAAACTACACTGAATCAAATTTCTGCCACTTCACTACAGACTGACCCTTTAGATTTCATCTTTTTCACTCCTCACCTGTTTGGTAGTCTGGATACTCAAATGTTAAAGTACTAACATTTCAATCGCCATGCTTACATAATTCAAATAAAAACTTATAAATAGGAAACTTCCCAAGTGTCCGAGATATTTTCAATAAAACCTTCTCGTGGATATACATTTGCTCCACAGAAGCAATTCTAATTCCTTTCAGATCTGTTAAATTGTATCAAAAGTTTTCTACAACTAACCTGATGATTACTACAGACCTCTCTGTAGTAATCATAGTAGAGCTCACTTAAAAAAAATCTCAATCTC